TGATCTGGTTAATGCATCTTCCTCATTATCAATCACCAGTGAGAACCTACAACAACTTGCATTCATGTAGAATGGTTTCCAATATACATTTACAGTATTATTTCATGCCAGAAAGCATTCCAACAAGAAGGGCAATGCCCAAAGGAATTCCATCATAAAATGGAAATGTACTATATGGAGTATGTTACCAGGGGATCCATGGGACAGACTCATCATCTTTATGAGCCTTTTTTCCTCAGATCCTTCCTTTTGACCAACGGCCCAAGGATGCCAGGCAATTGGTCTGGTTCACAGATGGTAGTTCAGAACTAAAGGCAATTCTGTATGGAAAGCAGATACTGAGTCCAGCAGAAGGTAACATCCTTATCAAAGAACAAGCTGGTCCACTGAGCTGAATTACATGGTGTATTCCTAGCCATGATAGAAGAAATGGGCACAAATAAAAGCCTCACTATTTGGGTAAATACTGACTCCAATGCACTTGAAATTGGTCTAACAATCGGCCATAAATAACTGAATAAGATTCCCACATGTGGGCCACCACTCTATATAAATCTCTACGGAAACTCTGAGGGTAAAACGAAGTAGGCCATGTTGATGCTCACCAAAGAAACCCTATGCCAGGGTTTGAAGGTGACTGGAATCAACTAGTTGATGGCCTAATTTGATCTGCTGAAATGTCAACAAAGGTCCATGAAATGCGTGGACATGGAGGAACTCAGGCCAGGCAGATGCACTGGACAATGACATAGATCACTGGCCCCTACCGAAGCTCAAATTGTTAATAAGAATTCTCCTTCTTGGAACAGTACAGTTCCATTTTTCTGTATTTCTCCAATCTGTCCCCTTGTAATTGGGAATGGACTAGCTCAGTGGCTGGACCAGAAAATTATCCTTCAGCGGGGAAAGGTATGAGTTAAAATTAATGATGAATGGAAAGGCAAGGTTGTTGCTGAGGGAAAGGGAGCCAATAAATGAGTGCCACAAAAGGGAAAATCTAACAATTTTGGTGCCTCAAGAGATGCTTAAAGCAAGAGAATAATATTTCTCTCAGCCTTAACTCAGAAGCTCTTGGGTGAAGGGCTCTGATGAAATCTCTTCCTCTTCTGAAGAGCCAAAAAGAGAGCTAGACAATAGCCAACCTAACAAACACACTTCCCAGAGTGATATATGTCCTCAAAATGGATGAAGAGACGGGAGCTCTGTGTCTGACTACGTGAAACAATACAAATGTAGCTAGCTTTTTTGATTCTCATTTCATAGGATGGATCTATTATAGAGGACCTGTGTTGGGAAGAAACCTGTGGGCATATTTAACAGGCTGAACCTGAAAAACACTGATTAATAATAATATAAATGGACATTATGTAGCCATTAATTGTGATGATGGTTTAAAGAAGGTACCACAATGTGATAGTAGAATGGCATCTACTACGTGTCCCATCTGTCATAATAACATTATGTGTAAAAATAGCTATTTGCCCTTTTCTTGTGGGTGAATAGGCATGAAGAGGAGGAGGGACATTTGGGACACTTGGATCACTGATAAAGAAAAAGTTAAAACTTAGTGGGCCTACATTCCTGAGAATTTTGGAATTTGTTGTTGTTGGTTATGGGAAGCGCTACGGAAAACTCAAACCAAAGTTTAAGAGTAGACCAAAGTCAACTCATATGATCTAGGTCTGGAGGAATTACCATTTTGGGGGTACCAAATTTATTTCCTAATTGTACTAAAGCAGTTAGTACTCAATGGCAACATGTCTGGTGTTGGCCCACTCGAAATGAGAGCCTTAGAGGAATTAGGAGCTGGGCTATGAGTAACTGGCCAGGCAGATTTGCTTTTAATGAGGAAAGACCTACAAATGAAAAAGACCTACTAACATGAATAGGGTGCCTTGAAGGCATCCTATTCCAGGAGTAAAGACAAAAGTGGCAAGATACTTGAAGTAATAACACAGTGCTCACAAAATGAATATTTTAATTACAGCATACACTAAGACAACATGCCCAAATCAACCCAGCAGTGAGAAGGGAACAAGCTTACGTGTTAATATAAGCTAGGTTAATAGACTCCTTAATTCAAATGGAGTCCAAGGCATCCGAAGCCCTATGGCCAGGAATTCCCATAGCAGAAATCCAGGGTATGCATTTGTGGGAGACGTATGGGCCCTGTAGTCTATGGAAGATATTAACTAGAGGATGCAACCTGTCGAGGTGCTCTTTACCAGCTTCAGCACCCCAAATGAGGGCTAACCATTCTTTCCCTATAGTGTAGTTTGTGAGTACTGGACAAACTTTAAATATCATAGTGCTTCCTGCGGTAGATAAATGGGTTCTGTTGCAGGACTCTTCTCACCGGGGACCAGTATCTGTCAAACCATGTAACCTGAGAGAAGAAATCTGGCTATGTACTCGAGATGTTCTGAATCCTGAAAAAACAGATATGGTCTCTGATTTATACTCCTATGAGGAATAATACATGGTATATGGGAAAAGGTAGATTGGGTTGGGAGGGAAAAATTGATAATACCACTATTTTGTCTGATTTACACTGTAACTACAGTATTGTTATAAGGTATAATATGGAGTCATAAATAAAATTAACACTGTAGATACTAATAGTGATCTAATATAATGGGAGACTGAGTTAAAGCCTTCTCAGGATCTTATTCCCTATGCAGCAGAACTGGTCTGATGAATACTTACAGCTGATTAATGAAAGATTATGATTCTTAATAATTCAGACAATATATGCCAAAAAGAACAGAGAGCTATAGATCTGAGAAGCAAAAGAATTGTATGGTTAGTACAAAAACATGAGAAAGTACAAGTGGAAGGTTCAGCTGTCTGTTTAAATCTATACCAACCCCATATTTTGTAGATATTGTAAATGGATTCAGCATGGACACTCTGATTGTCTATCTCATTGTATGACATTGTAAGGCAAGTAACTGTTATCAAACTAAGGATTTATTTTATTAGAAAAAGCCTTGACAATGGGTCGGGGGGTGTGAACTGTTAATTCCTAGAATTAGCTTGAGCTGTTTTGCTAAATTTCTGCATGGCACTACTTTGGTCAAGGCATGGCATGAAACATACTGATTAAAAGTGTTGTGAGGGCAATAAGCAAATGAAAAGATGCTCATTATCACTAACCATTAGGGAAATGCAAATCAAAACCACAATCAACTCAGCCATAAAAAAGAAATAATTCTGCCATTTGCAGCAACATGGATGGACTTGGAAGGCATTAATTATGCTAACTGAAATAAGTCAAAGACAAATACTGTATGATATCACTTATATGTGGAATCTAATAAATACAACAAATTAGTGAATATAACAAAAAAGAAGCAGATTCATAGATACAGAGAACAAACTAGTGGTTACTAGTGGGGAGGGGGAGGGAAGGAGGCAATATAGGGATCGGGAAGTAGGGGGTACAAACTACTGGGTGTAAGACAGGCTACAAGGATGTATTGTACAACATGGGGAATATAGCCAATATTTTGTAATAACTGTAAATGGAGTATAACCTTTAAAAATTGTATTAAAAAAACACAGATACCCCTTCATACCCATTAGGATTGCTATTATTAAAAAAAAAAAACCCAGAATGTCATAGATATGGAGAAATTAGAACACTTATGAATTGCTAAACACAGTATGGTGGTTCCTCAAAAAATTAAACAAAGAATTGACATTTGATCCAGCAATTCCACTTCTGGGTATATATTCAAAATAAATGAAAGTCAGGTCTTAACCAGATATTTTTACTGCAACGTTCACAGCAGAATTATTCACAACAGCCTAAAGATGCAAACAACCCAAATGACCATCAATGGATGAATGGACAACAAAACACTGTACATACATACAATGGAATATTATTTAGTCTTAAAAAGGAAGGAAATTCTAATATATGCTACAACATGGATGAATCCTGAAGACATTATGATGTCTTCATCATAAGTTAGAAACAAAAGGACAAATATTGTATGACTACACTTATATGAGTTGCCTAGAGTAGTCAAATTCATAGAGACAGAAAGTAGAACAGTGGTAACTAGGGGCTACAAGAACGGGGAATGAGAAGTTACTCCCTATTGGGCACAGAGTTTCAGCATGAAATCACGAAAAAGTTCTTGAGATGTACGGTCATGGTGATTGTACAACAATGTGAAAGTATTTAATGACACTAAACTGTACACTTAAAATGGCTAAATGGTAAATTTTATTTTATTTTATATATATATATATATTTATTTATTTCACCACAATAAAAACAAAGTATTGCAAGAAATTTCAGGTCAGTACAGTTTGTATCAGCCTGTCAGTATTGATAACAGTGAGATTAAAGGTTTATACTTGGTCTCTGTGAGAGCTCTGTTACCTAGCAGGAATATGCCAATGAGACCAAAACCCAAAAATCCCTAGCTGAGATTCTATCTGGGGCTCCCTGGTTCCCAGGTGTTCTATACATGCATCTGTGGTTCCTGAGCCAGAGAAAATGCACCTTGCCCGGTACTACGGGAGGACAACAGAAGTCTGCACCCAGTTTCTCTGGACCTGGCTGTGAGACAGCCATTGGGTGTGACAGGTATACTTACATTAATGCTGTTGCTATACTGTACCCTTCTCCTGTAATAAACTGCAGATTTGTAAGCACTGTCATTTTAGGTCCTACAAATCTTCTTTAACAAACTCTAACTGCTGCTATTATTGTAGATATGGTAAGGAAAGGAAATAAAATGAATTAATGTATGTTGTTGCAAGGAGAAACAACTAAGATCATGGGTAAAAGATACAAGAGGGATACTTGATATGCCTTGCAAGGTTCTGAGCAAGTCTCTAGACACATTCAGTAAACATCAAAGCAGAAGCTAAATGTCCATGTGCCATGAGATTACTATATTGGGTACACAACCTCAAGGTGCCCACTGAACACTAAGAGCTGAGATTTTTTAATTTGGAAAGAACTTTTTCAGTAGGAGCCATACCTGTGATGTCAGTTTCCCAGCAATCTGCATTCGTTCAATTTCTGCAGGAGATTTGATCAGCCTGAGATGCTGTACCAGCTGCTGCACAGCCCGAACCTTGTTCTTGCTCCTGGCTTTGACCTCTGTCAACTGCTGCATGTAGTCACAGTGGAGCTGAATGTGAGGGGGCCTCATCCAGTCATACCACAGTGTATGTGTCTCGGCTTAAAACAGATTTAAAATAAAACAGAAGCAAGAAATACCACCTGTCATAATGACTTGAACAAGAGTCAAAACTATAAAATATGTAGTATAGAACTCTAAAGGGTTGAACACAAACTCTCAGGACCGAAGTAATTGAAGGATTGGATCGTAAATCATTGGAAAGGCCATTCCCTGAAAACAGCAAGATATTCTGAGACTGAACACACAGCTTTTTCTGCCCTCAAACTTCAGTGTTTTTAATAAAGATGATAGATGAGACTAAAGCTTTATGCAAGCTTTGATTTTATTATTTATTAACTGTTAAAGAACAATTATGACAATTGTTCTCCACACAACTGAGCTAGAGGCATCATTAAATAACTAAACACAAAAGGACAGAAAAAAGTACTCAGCTCATGACCTTATGGTTAAAAGTGTTCCATCCCTTACAAACAATCTCAGTATTGGTGAAAGGAGCTCTCATAGTTGATAATACATGCTAATCCACACTTACCCAGGAAATCCTTCCTTTTCCATCTGCCATGTATTCTCATTACAGACAACCACAGTTCACCATTTCACTTTAGAGACTCAAGGAAATGGTCAATTTTTGCCTGAGATATAAGATGAGGCTCATTATGAAAATCTTTTCCATTTACATCAGGTCTCTATTTGTTCCTTTCTTTTTTTTCTGACAGAAACCTATGAGTAGGGGTTTCCCTGGTGGCACAGTGGTTAAGAATCCACCTGCCAATGCAGGGGACACAGGTTTGAGCCCTGGTCCGGGAAGATCCCACATGCCACAAAGCAACTAAGCCCGTGCACCACAACTACTGAGCCTGTGCTCTAGAGCCCGTGAGCAACAACTACTGAGCCCACGTGCCACAACTACTGGAGCCCACGTGCCTAGAGTCTGTGCTCTGCAACAAGAGAAGCCACCACAATGAGAAGCCCGTGCACCACAACAAAGAGTAGCCCCCGCTTGACGCAACTAAAGAAAGCCCGTGCAGCAACAAAGACCCAACACAGCCAAAAATAAATAAATAAATAAATAAATAAAATAATAGTAATAATAAAAAAGAAACCTATGAGTAGTATTCACGACAATCTAAGTCTGAAGGTTTGTTTGTATGTTTCATACAAGGGACTTTGGGACCAAAGAGGGAAAAAATCCTAAAAATTTTGATCAGATATGTATTAGTGGTACAATCTCCTAAATATTTTCACTTTAAAATAAAAGTGATTTTAAATGTAGATTACAGGTAAAACTCTAATCTTATTTTCAATAGAAATTTAATTGCTGTAATTTTTAAAAAGTAAAACAACCATGACCATCTGCTGTCAGCTTATAAAATCACAGACCAACCTTTTTAGGTTTTTAAACTTTCAATCTATGATCACTGGAAACAGTTTTGAAATTCTCTTTTAGAGACTGACTTCAGAAATGTTTATAAACCTTACAAGAATATGACTAAAATTTTACGATCATACATTATTTTGTCTAAAATCAAGTATTTTCCAACTTGATCATCTATCTTATTTATCAAATTCGGATCTAAGTGACTTTTGGACACTTCAAAAAATAAAATGCTTACTAGAGTTGTAGATTTGTAAGAATCACTAAGAATAGTTTATAATGCAGTGTACATTCTGAAAAGTTCCAGAAAAGGAATCCCAAAACATTCTGAGTGATCATAATTTCACCAGAATAAGCATAGAGAAAGTGACTATCTCAAGGGGCATGAATTCAACCGTGTACACGAACCGCCTGAGAATCTTGTTAAAATGCAGATCCTGATTTAGTAGGTATGGAGTGGGGGCTGCAGATTTTACATTTCCAGTATCTATTATGCATTTGTAATTCTATAATGCATCACCAGGTGATTCTCATGCTGGTGATGAATAAATTATTCTTTGACAATACTGCCCTTTTTTGAAGAGTTGGCAAAAGCAGTAAGATAAGTAGTAATCAAAGGTCAATAGACTGGTCAGTAATCTTGAAAATCAGTAATCTTGAAAATCAGTAATCTTGAAAAGCAGCCCATGCTCATCCTCCACTTTAAAATTCTCTGTCTGGGATTTCAAACTAGAACAGTTAAAAGTCTCTGTGAATGAATAATCCAATGAAGATTTAGCAAATGAATAAATGAAATCTTTAAAGTCTTGTGGAAAAGATTTATATTCTTTTTTTTTTTTGGCGGTATGCGGACCTCTCACTGTTGTGGCCTCTCCCGTTGTGGAGCACAGGCTCCGGACGTACAGGCTCAGCGACCATGGCTCACGGGCCCAGCCGCTCTGCGGCATGTGGGATCTTCCCAGACCAGGGCACGAACCCGTGTCCCCTGCATCGGCAGGCGGACTCTCAACCACTGTGCCACCAGGGAAGCCCAAGATTTATATTCTTTCCATGGTGCCCAGGGCAATGCTGCTATGATGATTATTTTAGGAAATGAAGAACTTTGTCTAAACAGGCAAGGAAGGTCTTAGTCCCAATCTGGCCTATGATTTGACTTCTGCTCCCATTTGTTACCTTTCAGTTTTGGTACAAGATGTTGAAATTCTTCCAGCGTATAGGCTTCATCCACTCCAGTTAGAGCTATTGCTCCATCAGTACCAGATCGGGGGCCATCCCAAAGTTCTCGACTGGGATCTCTCTGAGGCACAAAAAGTATGGCCTTGTGTGCTGGTAACTGCTTGCCCGGGAGGCTTTGAAGGACCAGAATGCTATCAGGCTCTTGGAATCCACACAGGTACAGGAAATTGTTGTCTTGGTGGAAAGTATAGGGGATATCATTGCTCATATAGTATGTAGGGTTGGACAGCAGTACCACTGTGTGGTCTGTACCACTCTGCCCTTGTGCTTCCTTGTGGATCAGAGATATTAGTTTGTGTCTGCGAAGTGCATATTCCACCTGGGATAGTCCTGGCGTCACCTCCCCTAGAAATGACAAAAAACAGTGATGCTTTGCATTTCTATAGTGCCAAAGTACTTAAGAGAGTTTAATATTAGATGGAGACACCCAAGTTCATTTCTTCAATTTATGCCCAATCTCCTCATAGCACACGGCAAATTAAGGAGATAACCCAGGTTTCAAATTTCTATTCCATTGCAAAAATTTGGAAGAAATGATAATTACATGTGGTCCTGCCTGAAAAATGGGATCATGACCCCTTAAGATCTCTTCCAGCTCTTTGGTTCATTCTTTTACTCATTCAATCAAATATTTACTAAACATTATTATATGGAAGGCATTGTTAGGCAAATAATCCAAGTTGCCCTGAAGTTTCAATATATAAGGTGAGGAGAAGGATCACATTTTCTGTGTAAGACTTCCCCAAAAGAATGTAAGCTCCTCGAAGACAGAGTTTTGTCTGTTTGCTCAACGTTATATTCCCAGGGCCTAGAATAACAATTGGAATATAGTAGGCATTTGATAATTGTCAAATGAGCTATAGTAATTTTAGAGTTGAAGGCCAAAAAGCTTTCCCCAATTGCAAGAGTTAGAATAAATTTCTCCTTCTGAATTTCCAAGGCATAATAATATCTTTCTAACAGGGCTTTTCACTTTCTACCTTGTATTAACAGTGAGCTGGGTATATACATAACCTCTTTGATGGTCAGAACCATCTTCATATCCTTCAAAACTCTAGTAATATTATCCACCTCTTGGGGCCGTCATGAGAATCAAATTTGATAAAGCATGTGTTTCTTAAGGATTTGAAGACATCCTAGAAAATCTTTTGAAAGCTATGGATGTATTCTGTTTACTAAATGGCATGTAGGCACATACAAACATTTTTTAAAAAATTTATTTAGTTTATTTTATTTTTGGCTGCATTGGGTCTTCGTTGCTGCATGTGGGCTTTTCTCTAGTTGTGACGAGCAGGGGCTACTCTTCGTTGCGGTGCATGGGCTTATTGTGGTGTCTTCTCTTGTTGCGGAGCACGGGCTCCAGGCGCGTGGGTTTCAGTAGTTGCGATACGCGGGCTTAGTTGCTCCGCAGCAAGTAGGATTTTCCCGGACCAGGGCTTGAACCAGTGGCCCCTGCATTGGTAGGCGGATTCTTAACCACTGCGCCACCAGGGAAGCCCAGATACAAACTTTTGACATACAATTTCAAGAGTCTCAGATTCCTGTAAGCGCACGCAAAAAACCCATATTAAGAACCCCTGTGGGACCTCCCTGGTGGTCCAGTGGTTAAGAATCTGCCTTCCAATGCAGGGGATGTGGGTTTGATCCCTGGTTGGGGAACTAAGATCCCACATGCCGCGGGGCAACTAAGCCCACAAGCTGCAACTACTGAACCCGTGCACCACAACTACAGAGCCCATGTGCTCTGGAGCCTGCACGCCACACTAGAGAGAAGCCCTTGCACCACAACTAGAGAGAAGCCTGCATGCTGCAAAGAAGATCCTGTGTGCTGCAACTAAGACCAGATGCAGCCAAAAATAAATAAATAAACATATATATAAAAAAACTTTGTTATGAAGTGTTATGTGTTAGTTCTTTATTTTAGCCCTTTCTCCTTTTATTTATTATTTATTTATTTTTTTAACATCTTTAGTGGAGTATAATTGCTTTACAATGTTGTAATAGTTGCTGGTGTGTAACAAAGTGCATCAGCTATATGTATACATATATCCCCATATCCCCTCCCTCTTGCACCTCCCTCCCACCCTCCCTATCCCACCCCTCTAGGGGGACACAAAGCACTGAGCTGATCTCCCTGAGCTATGCAGCTGCTTCCCACTGGCTATCTATTTTACATTTGGTAGTGTATATATGTCAATGCTACTCTCTCACTTGGTCCCAGCTTACCCTTCCCCCTCTCTGTGTCCTCAAGTCCGTTCTCTACGTCTGCATCTTTATTCCTGTCCTGCCCCTAGGTTCTTCAGAACCTTTTCTTTTTTAGATTCCATATATATGTGTTAGCATACGGTATTTGTTTTTCTCTTTCTGACTTACTTCACTCTGTATGACAGTCTCTAGGTCCATTCACCTCACTGCAAATAACTCAGTTTCGTTTCTTTTTATGGCTGAGTAATATTCCATTGTATATATGTGCCACATCTTCTTTATCCATTCATCTGTCGATGGACACTTAGGTTGCTTCCATGTCCTGGCTATTGTAATATGTGTTAGTTCTTAATACTAGTACCTAACAGACTGCCTGGCTGCTAGCCCAGTGATGACTGGGTGAACGCTTCACTTCTGAAATGGAAATTATGCCTGCTTTCACTTTAGGTTCCCAGACAAAAGAACTACTAAAACAATTACTCACAAAAGCTGTATCCCTAAGCCTACACTTAACAATAGTAAAACAACATCTAATGCTTATTGAACGCTTACTACGTGTCTGTACTATTCTAATTATTTACACGTATCAACTTATTTTATCTTTACAATGACTCTATGATGTGGGGAACTATTATTATTCCCTGTGGTAGCCAGTCTCCACATGCAAGTATGGGAAGATAGCCATGAAACACTGCTGTGTAAGAAAGTTAAATAAGAAGATGGACAATATGTTCTCATTATGTTTAAAAAAAACAAAGGAGAGAGAAAAAAGAATTTAGAAAAGAATCAGAATTTTTATAGTGGTAACCTATGGAGAGTGACATAAACTGAAATTTTCTATTTAACATGATTTATTATATTATTTGAATTCTGTTTCAATAAGTATATACTCTTATAATTAAAGTCCCAAATAAAGAGAAAAAGAGGTTAAAAAAGGGAAACCATGGACAGTCCACTCCATACTCATAACCTACAATGGTTCTTCATCGCCTGTCAGATCAAATTCATACCCTTAAGCCACTTTAACATTTACATTTAAATGTAACATTTTAATGTTCTCTACCAGGTGACTTCAACTTATCTGGCCAACTTTTTTTTGGTAACAGCTCTACTGAGATATTTTCATACCATACAATTCGCCCACTTACAAGTGTACAATTCAATGATTTTTGGTATATTCACAGATTTGTGCAACCATTACCCTAAACAATTTTAGAATATTTCATCACTCCAAAAAGAAATCCCATGCCAATCAATAGTTACTCCCTGTTTCCTCCGAATCCAATCCAGCCCTTGACAACCACTAATCTATTTTCTGCCCCTCTGGGTTTGTCTATAGTACAGATTTCATATAAATGAAATCACACAAGATGTGTTCTTTGGTGACTTGGCCAACTTTTTTCATATCATTCCCCCAATTATTCTGAAATTAATTCCTTCTATATCTTACATAAGTCCAACCTGTTACCTTGCTTACAGTGTGTCCCCTTTCTAAAATTTCTTCTCCCTCCAAAGCAATTCCACTCAAGACTTGGAGCTCAATATATGTTTGTTTTTAGACCCTTCTGATTCAAAAGGCTTTCTTGATTAGCCCAGATCATGTTGATTTGTTCCTTTGAATTACATTTTTTTTTAAGTCAACTATTTCATTTTCATATACACATCTTATAGTTGTGTATAAATGTAATCATACCATACTCTTTCAATAGTTAAACACTTTTCCCCCATTTCTTCATTGTTTGAGACCTCACTCCCCTTCCCTCCTTCTACCCACATTAGAACCACCCCCATATTTGTAATTTAGTATGTATCCTTTCCTATTTTTCTCAATACTCATATAATCACATACACATATACCTGCATTTAGGGTTTTTTGAGTCACTAGTGTTTTACAAAAATGGGGTACTACACAGTCTTGTGTTTATGTTGTCTTTCTAACACAACAATACCTCATAGAAGTCCCTCCCACCAACTCATTTAGCATAGCTTCAACTCATTCTGCTTGATGTCTCCATATTATTTCTTGGGGGAATGTATCGTAACTTCCTGATCCATTTCCATACTGGTGGTCATTCATATTATTTTCAGCTTTTTGCTGCAATAATGAACATCTTTCTACTTATATACATAGGGTACTTTTAAATGCCCTATGTACTGTTGCTTTTATTTCTGTGGGATAGTCCCAGGAGAGAAATTAGTGGATCAAAGTCCTTCGAGTTTTCTTAGTACTCATGTTCAGTACATGCAACTCAGCTGTTTATGATTACTTTGGAACTGTCTAGTTGTTTTACCTATGCATAGTTTATCTCTCCAGAAAATTCTGTAGTTCTATCCCATTAATAATTTTTTATTTAACTTTTATTTACCTACAATATAAAAATTTACATTTTTATTAACAAAATTGGTAAGAAACAAAAGAGATAAATAAGAGAGGGCCTTACAGGCCAGGCAAAGCAACAGAGTTGGTCCTAGAAAAGCTCACATCACATTTCTTTCTCTGAGGATTGAGTTGGGTAAGAGTCCCCTAGGGCTCTAGGGCAGAATATCGAACTTTATACCAGAGCCCAAGAACAGCTTAACTATTTATCTCCCTGATAATTATTCATGTTAAGTCTGCCACTGTTACTCAATATTGGAAATTTCCTAATTTACCCAAGCAGCAAATACTCTTTTCTAAAAGCAGACGCTGGTTATAATTGGTGGATTATCCAACTTTTCCTTTTTGTCATTTTACTTGGTCCCTATCCTGTGCTTTGCTTTTGGTCATTTCCCAGCTATGGTCCATGTAATAAAACTAAACTTAAAAAATCAATTCATTGTGTTTTTAAAAAAAACTTTGGAAATAAGAAAATTCACAATATTAATGATCTTAATTAATCAATGTGTTATCTCTCATTTTCATTAATAACAGAGTATACATATATGTATATTAGGAAGTAACTTCTGAAAAAAAGATAAAATTATTTAAAAATCAAAGCAGGATTGCAAAACCATCTTTTTCGCCCTTCAAAGCATTCCTCATTGCTGAATCTAATTTCATACAAATGACTATATGAGAAATATTTATTTAAAACACTGACTACATTTTCCCAAGCTTACTAATTGTAAACATTATACAGTGACCATTAACTATATGCTTCCAAACTTCTGAAATTTCGAAGAACTCTTCATCACAACAGAAAAATTATCCAAGGAAAAACACACCTTATCAACTGAAGGAGGGAAAAAAAGTGTGATAAAGCAATGAACTTCAACCCTAGAGGTAAACCTGGCAGTTGTTATGGCCTTTGATCATAGAACTAACCATTATAGTCCATCTAGCCTGACTTTCTTCAGATAAAACTGCATCTGAATAGACATTCTGGTAACTTTGTCAAATTGTAAAGTATTAAGAAGCAAAGTCAGTATTTTGTCATGTGGAGTCAATTAAGGATAGAAGGGCTACTCTAACAAGTTATTTAATCAATCAAATGCCTAGATGTCACAATCTGGACTCTGTAAATAACAAAGTCTCACAATCAATCCTGAGACTGTGCAGCCAAGAAGAAAAGCTCTTCCAGGACATCTAGGATTGCGCCTCTCGAGAGAATAAGAAAAATGTTCTTCATATTTCATCAGCCAGGCAGAAAACCCAGAGAGGAAAAGTTTTATGAAGACAGAAAATGGATGGAAATATGCAAGTCTTTGCTACAATCTAGGTATGTATTTTAATTATTTCCTGAAACTAACTAGGTTAGGATTTTAACGTGGCCTGAAGCAGTGCCCTTGAATTCTGTTTAATATTAGGAGTTTTTTATTGTATATAAGGAAGTAGTGCATAAAATGATCTATTACTATGTAGTTGGAAAATGGGGGTAAAGAAAAAGCTAATAAACATTTCCTTTATAAAGTAAAACACAGACCTCTCTGAAAAAAATGAAATGATCAAATAAATAATTTAAAAATACTCTCAATGGATTTTATTTGCATCTACTGAGCAAAACAAGCCAGACAGAAAGGGTTCATACTGTATGATTCCACTTACACGAAACTCAAGAACAGGCAAAACAATCATGTTGATAGAAACTAGAGCAGTGGTTAAGGATGGAGGTGGGGACTGACTAGAAGGGTATGAGGGGACTTTCTGGGGTGACGGAAATGCCCTATATCTTGAATGGGGTATGAGTTATATTGGTGTACCTTTGTCAAAACTCACTGAATTGCATATTTAAGCTCTGTGCAATTCACCTAATGTAAATTTTATCACATTAAAAAAAAAAAAAGTACAGCTGGCCCTCCATATCCATAGGTTCTGCATCTGGGGATTCAATCAACCACAGATCAAAAATATTTGGAAAAAAAATTCCAGAAAGTCGCAAAAAGCAAAACTTCAATTTGCTGTGCATGAGCAACTATCTACATAGCATTTACATTGTATTAGGTATTATAAGTAATCTAGAGATGGTCTATAGTATACGGGAGGATGTGCATGGATTGCAGTCATATACTGTGCCATTTTAGGTACGGGACTTAAGCATCCACAGATTTTGGCATCTGAGAGGGTCCTGGAACCAATCCCCTAAGGATACCAAGGGATGACTATACCACTCTCTAAAGCTGAAATAACTTTTACATCAAGACTTCTCTCACTTGAATTTCTTCTTACCAAAAATATTATACCAAAAAAAAGACTTAAAAAAATTCCCATATAGTATTCTTTGGCATGGGTGTTATGTGCTGTTTTGTGGTTAAGTGTGGACTCAGACTTTTGCTGAGCTGGAATTCTGGCTTAACAACTTACTGAGTGACTTGGGGAGAGCTACCAAACTGTTCTGTGCCTGTGTCCTCATCTGTAAAGTGGAGATAATAATAGCACCCACTTCACAAAGTTGTCAGGAGGACTTAATAAGTTAATGAAATACTTAGAACAGTTAGCACTATATAAATATTAGTTATAATTATTATCACAATAAATAATTTACACTTGAAGAGGTTGTCATCCTGGTAATACAAAGCCAGGTAGGATCTTGAAAGAGTAAAATTTATAGGGATGATCATTATCCCTATCAAAGTAATTATTTACATGAAATTATTTACATGAAATTATCTGGTTTTCTCACACAATGACAAGAATGAGTTTCAAGTGATTCAGGAGCTTTTTTTTTTTTTTTTCTTTTGTGGTACGCGGGCCTCTCACTGTTGTGGCCTTTCCCGTTGCGGAGCACGGGCTCCGGACGCCGCAGGCTCAGCGGCCATGACTCACGGGCCTAGCCGCTCTGTGACATGTGGGATCTTCCCGGACCGGGGCACGAACCCGTGTCCCCTGCATCAGCAGGCGGACTCTCAACCACTGCGCCACCAGGGAAGCCCTATCTGTATTCTCTAACTTGTCTATCATATATATGGAACTTGTATAATAATTAGGAAAGGGACTGAGATATTTTCCAAAAGTTTAAAGTACTGGGGAAATATTCCAAACATGAAACCTTTTGGAGCAAACCACATAATAGAAACATACTTTTAAACCCCAAACTAACAAACTGACCTTGGCTTTGTAAAAGAGATTTTTAAAAAAGTATTAAATGCCTCTTAATTTTTCTTAATAATTGACTCTTCCTCCACCCCTCAATTATTTTAACACTTCTGTAAGTTTTGCTTCTCTACGTGGAGAAAGATAAGTGATTAACACTTTGGCTATTGTATATCTGGTGGTTTCTTTAACACTGGTAATTCTCTTTTAAAATTCTATCTACTTCTATCCCTTCTCACTTACCCCAATCCCTACTGTACAGGAGAATAAAAATTATGATAGGTGGGCTTCCCTGGTGGCACAGTGGTTGAGAGTCCGCCTGCCGAGGCAGGGGACACGGGTTCATGCCCTGGTCCGGGAAGATCCCACATGCCACGGAGCAGCTGGGCCCGTGAGCCATGGCCACTGAGCTTGCGCGTCCAGAGCCTGTGCTCCGCAACGGGAGAGGCCACAACAGTGAGAGGCCTGCATATCGCAAAAAAAAAAAAAAAAAAATTATGATAGGTATTCCTTTTCCCCCATAGTTTATATGAACATATGTATATATATGAACTTGTATGTGTGTATTTATTTACATTCATTTTTTACATAGTTAACATGCACATAACACAAATAACAGTCTAGATACAGAGGCCATCAACTTGACAATATGATTACTAGTTTCAAGGCCTGGAAAATGCAGCTCACCATGTAAAAGTATCTCACCACGAGAAATCAGTAATTTTCAAAGCTGGTAAAACTTAGTATTAAATTGAAGCTACAGGTAGGTTGATTGGATGGAGAAATACTTAAATTAATATCAACTGTATTGCTATTAAGCTTACCTTACAGCTTTGAAAAACTCTGATTTCCTGTGTGTTTCAGTGGTGAGCTGCATTTCCTGAGTCTCAGCCGACTTCCCAGCAGGAATTCCAGTCTGATGCAGAATCAGCAAAAGGAAGCCCTCACTGAGAGACACACTGGTATCATTCACTGAGTGGAGACAGTGAAAGAGCAACATATTTCCAAAGGCAATTTAGATTATTAATATATATGCTTACACAGTAAATACAGATTTAACTTCGCATGGCAGAAGCAACAATTAATATCCCTTGAAAACCTGACTGCTTTTTCTCCAAAGCATTTGGTTTTACCCTGCCTACCTCTTTGAGATGATATTCATTCATCATAGTTCATCCCTTAAGTGTCTTTAAAAAACAAAACAAAACAAAAAACCTTAGGTATGAATTTGAACAATAGTGATGACACATCTTCCAGCAGGAACGCTGGAATCTTAAAGTAGAAAAAAAAAATTAGTGAAGTAAACCTTTATCAACTTTTTGCATCATTATCACTTCTCAAAGTTGTGACAATCACATATGGAAATCTTGTGTAACCTATATAAAAATATTTTTCTTAATATTGACATGAGCATTTAATGCTTTCAAGAAAAATGTTTCCTAAAATGTCTTTAACACAGTAGTTCATAAGGAATCAATAGTTAGAACACAGTTCTAGACACCATGTTTTAGAAAGTAACAGAATTTTTCTTTAAAAACATCTTGAAATACATACTTTTCACTGATACTGCTGAATTATAAGGCTAATCGTATTTATTGCTCTAGATGGTGCTGTCTATACAGTACTATTAGCCACATGTAGCTGTTTAAATTTAAATTAATTAAAATAAAATTTAAAAAAATTTAGTTCCTCAGTTGCACTAGCAACATTTTAAGTGTACAGTAGCCACTTGTGTATAGTGGCTACTGTATTGGACAGCACAGCTCTAGAACATTCCCACTGCTGCAAAAATTCTATTGGATAGCACAGTTCTAGACAAAGCCCCTAAAGAGAGAGACAGTCATTACAGTTAAAAGGCCTTACCTGGTCTGAGGAGGTGTGGGTGTGTAAAGGGGCTGGGCTGGCCTAAGTACCGGTTTGGAATCCTCCTCTCTGGGATGGGCTGCAGGGAGTACCTTCGCTGTGAACATGACATGCATCCTGAAGGAGAGATAAAGAGGATGAAATGGAATAGTGTACCTAGAAAGTCCTGACAGTATATACACATTTAGCTACCTCCAGCAGTAGGATGTTTTAGAAAAATGCAAATTAGTATCTCCTTCAGTATTTATATGGTCCTTCCTCTGGGCCAGCCAGAGCCTGTGTTGGGCCTTAGGGATACAGAAATGAGACTATCTTTACCTTTAGTGACTTTAGTCTACCTGAATATAATAGAGGTATATATACATACAGTATGATTAACGTATGAATAGGAGCTATGGGAACAGAAGAAAGACAACAAACAAAAGCAGGGGAGGGGGTAGGAAGTATTTCATTGAGGTAGTGTTATGCTGTGTCCTAAAATTCAGAAAAAGAGAATTAACATTTTTATTGAGAATATGTGAAGTTTCAGAAAATATGCACATCTTATCTCATTTAATCTTGGAATGTTAGAGCTAGTGAAATGTCTGAAAAATGCTTAATCATATTTAGCCCATAAGAAGTAATATTATTAGCATTCATTCAGCAAGATTTATTAAGTGTGTGATTGGCACATGCTGGGAAAGACACAAGAGTAACACAAGACTATCTGTCCTGGTCTGGAAAGAACATACAGTCTAGTGGAGGTGAGACAGAGCAATACTACATTGTGAACGCAGTGGTAGATTCATACACAAGGTTTTTGAGAGCACAAAAACTAACACAACGCTGTGGGACGGGTACAATGACGATAGGACACAGTGATCTGGGGAACAGAGAAGCACACAACAGGCGCTTGTGTGAGACTGCAGAAGTAGAAATGCCTACTCTGAGTAGGAATTAGTCAGTGAAAGTGACAAGGGGAGCTGAAGGTATCATGAATGAGATTATGACAGGGAAGGCATAGAAAGCACCACATTCACATGTGCCCATGTGTGCGTGTAGAGGGAAAAGGGATAGAAAGAGAATTTCAGGTCAGTGTTGCTGCTGGTGGGAGAGGAAAAGATCAGCAAGGTAAGGATCAGACCATTGAAGGCTTTGTACACCAAACTAAGGAATTAGATTTTTAACTGTTACTTGAGGTAGGCATTATCATTGCCTTCTTTTTTTTTTTAACAAATAAGGAATCAGACTCAGAGAAGTAATTTGTGCAATGTTACACAGTTAGTACTAGGGAAGCTGGGATTCAAACTCAGTTTTATTTAACTTCAAAATCTTTGCTCTTATCCCTCTACTCTGCCACTCAGTAAGTCTTCTCTGCTAAATCCCAACAATACAATTAGTACTGTACAATCTCCCCGTGAACATACAATCACTACAACAGCAAAATGAGGTAAGTCTGGGTCAACTTAAAGGTTTTAGTAGGGATTATAAAGCATGAATGACAGCGTATGTATTTGGAGTTAAGAAGTCTTAAACATTAACTTTGAATTAAATTTACAAAGGGTTATTGAGAAAAATTATAGCTTCTTGAATGATTAAAAAGACAGAGAAAATGGTACATGTTTCCAGGCAGTATGAAAATACAGTTAAGAATAGTGGAAAATGAGAAAAAGGACAAAATATTAAGTATTTTCTGGAATCTGTCTTTAGAAAATGTACAGAATACATATTAAGGAATATGCCCAGTCTACACAGGTTGAAAGCTTAACAAAGATGAGGCAAGCAATTTACAAAAATACAGAGAAACCTGCTAAGTGACACCACAGGGAAGCAATCAACAAAGACACTACCAGACAAACAATTCAGCTTTTTCCACATAAATTCTAAGGCAGGTAGGGGTGGTAAGGTATGGAAGGGGGAATCTATAGATTAAGTAAGCCTTAAAAGACATTATCAACCAACTGTAATATGTGAACCTTAACTGGATCCCGATTCAAGCAACAAACTGTAAAACAAATACATTATATTTATGAGATCACTGGAAATTGGGAGTGATTGCATATTTGATGGTATTACGGAAGTAATATTTGTTTTAACGTGTGATAATGGTGTTGTGATTATGTTAAAAAGAAACTTATCTTTTAGAGATATAAATAGAAATATTTACAGATGAAGTGATATGATCTCAGGTTTGTCTCAAAATAATATGGGGGTGGGGTGGATTGTGGAGAGGATGAATGGGGATTTGAATGAAACAAGACTGGCCATGAGTTGATAATTATTGAAGCTGTGTGATGGGTACATCAGAGTTCATTATACTACTCTACTTGCGTATATTTTTGAAATTTTCCATAATAAAAAAGTTGAAAAAAAAAGAAAGATGAAGCGACCATAGAGAAAAATGAAGGAAATAAGCATGTACTCCGGAAGGCAATCTAAGACAAAGAATTAAAGGCAGCATGGTATAGTAGAAAAAAGTGCTAGTTCTAGTTTAGTTCTACTATCTACATGATCTTGGCATGTTACATAACTCCTCTGTACTTATTTCTTCACCTGTGAAATAAAGCCGTTATATTAGGTAGTGGCTTTCAAATTTTTAAAACCAAGACCCACAGTAAGAAATATATTTTACACAGTAACCTAGTATATACAGACATATATATGTATAATGTATATAGAAATTTCACTAAATACTATTCTTTCTGTGACTGTTATTTTTGCTGCCCTATTCCATTAAAAATAAGCTTGCCTCAGTGCACTAAAATGATTTTATTACTGCAGTGTCTTGAATGGTGGCCCCCAGAAGATACGTCCACATCCTAATCTCCAGAACCTGTGACTATTAATTGGAAAAAGGGTTTTTGCAGATGTAATTAAGGAACTTGAGATGAACGCATCATCCTGCATTATCTGGGTTGATCCTAAATCCAATGACATGTGTCCTTGTAAGAGAAATGCACAGGAAGAATTGAGACAGAAGAGGAGGAAGCAATGTAACCATGGAGGCAGAAACAGAAGAGATGTGGCCACAAGCCAAGGAATATGTATAGCCACCAGAAGCTGGAAGATGGGAAGAATGGATTCTCTCCTAGTGCCCCGGGAAGGAGTGTAGCCCTGCTGACACATGATCTCGGGCTTCTGGCCTCCAGAACTGTGAGACAATACATTTCTGTTGTTTTAAGCAGACATGTTCGTGGTAATTTGTTATGGTAGCCTCAGGACTAATACAATGACTTACTAAGGTTGAAATAAATATGTCAAGTGCTTGATTATTTTTTCATAGTTCACAAATTCTTCATTTTTTCAAACCAAAACATGGAACAATTGAGAAGTAAGTTATTAAAGCTCAGTAACCCAGAGGTCATATTATGCAAGAGGTATGCTGTGGCCATAAACAACAGCTCCCACTGGTTTATAAGGCACTGTTTGAGGCTTCCAGGAAAATATAGGGGAAATAGTCCAGAGGGTTAAGGATGGTCTGGTATGACTCTGGACAAGCTCCGTTCGGAAGGTCTAGTCCCTACCCCAACCCCATAATGACACCACAATGCAGCCCTCCCTGACATAAGCTTGTAACTCTGCTTGCCATATAATCAGTATCCTAATGTGTCCTAGCAGTGGTCCATGGTAATAACATTGTCTTCAATGTAAAAATGTGCCTATCTGCGGTCACTGCCTCTACCACCATCACCAGCAGAGCCTAAGCTAAGAGGAAACCACGGTTCTCACTACCCTGAGCACCCCTTTCCAACCATCTGTTACAACATGGTGGATTACTATGAAGTTCTAGAATTGCAGAGATATACTTCACCTGTGGACATTAAAAAGGCTTATTGAAAAGTGGCACTTAAATGGCACCCTGATAAAAATCCAGAAAATAAAGAAGCCGAGAGAAAATTCAAAGAAGTAGCTGAGGCATATGAGGTATTATCAAATGATGAAAAATGGGACATTTATGATAAATATGGCAAAGAAGGATTAAATGGTGGAGGCAGAAGTCATTTTGATGATTCTTCTGAGTATGGCTTCATATTCCGTAAGCCAGATGATGTCTTTAAAGAAATTTTTCGTAAAAGGGACCCATTTTCATTTCATTTCTTTGAAGACTTGCTTGAGGACCTTTTTTTTTTTTTTGAAGACCTTTTAAATAATCCAAGAAGCTCCTATGGAAGCAGAAACAGAGGTGAAAGATCCTTTTTCTCTACATCCAGTGAATATCCAGCTTTCGGGAGATTTTCTTCATATGATACAGGATATATACCATGTGGTTCACTGGGCCATGAGGGCCTTAATTCATTCTCTTCCCTGACATTTGACGACAGTGGGATGGGCAACTACATATCTGTTACAACTTCAGGTAAAATTGTTAATGGCAGAAATACCAATACAAAGAGAATTATTGAGAATGATCAAGAAAGAGACAAAGACAATGGTGAGTTGAAGTCCTTTCTTTTAAATGGTATGGCAGATGAAGAGAGCTTTGCTGAAGAATGCAGTTGGAGAAGACGGTCATTCAACAATTATTCACCAAAGTCCTGCAGCCCCAAACATGTATCTCAATATACTTTTGCAACTGGAATCCCTCTATTTTCTCAGCAGGATTCAAAGAAGGTGGTAAGAGGAAAAAAAAGAAGCATAAAGAGGTACAGAAGAAGAAGTCAACTAAAAGGAATCATTAAATTGACTCTTCAGACACATTACGTTCATATAACATTTGAACACAGCTCTTTATGTGTTTCTTTTTTTAAAATTTTATTTTATTTATATTTTTATACAGCAGGTTCTTATTAGTTATCCACTTTATACATATTAGTGTATATATGTCAATCCAATCATCACACCATCTTTGTGTGTTTCTGTTAGAGTTTTGCAGATAATATTTGTTTAATACCACACTAAGATTATGTTTTTAACCTATTTAGCAGGACTGTAAACATCTGATGAGTGGCTGTTTGGATTAGGTATGTTAGAAAAAGATGAATTTGTGAACAGTGATACTAAGAATTTAGAAAACAGCAAAGATTAATGAGTTTTGAAATTTTAGCTAAGGTAGACAGGAAAAAGATCTAAATGAAATGAAGGAGTTAGCCATGTGGATATTTGGTCAAAGAAGATTCCAGGCAGCAGGACTAGCAAGTGAAATGTCCCTAAAGCAGACTGTGTAAGGTGTGTTTGAGGAACATGGAGATCAGTGTGGCCAGTTATGAGAGCAAGTAGATGAAGTAAGAAAGGTAACAGAAGACCAGATTATGCAGGGACTGCTAGATCACAGTATGAACTATGTTATAATTGTCAGACAGGAAGCCAATGGAGGCTGTGAGCAGGAGAGTGACATAATCTGACATACTTAAACAGGCCTATGCTGGTTGCCGTCATTAAAAACAGACTCTAAGTAAGCAGGGGTAAAAGCAGGGAAATGCAGGCTACTGCCACAATCCAGGCCAGAGACTGCAGTAGCTTGGCCAAGGTGGTGGAAGCGGTGGTGGTAAAGAGAGATCAGACTCTGGATATATTCTAAAGGTAGGGTCAAATGGAATTTGCTGACAGACTGGATGTGGGGTATGAGAGAAGTCAGGATTTTTGGCCTTAGCAACTGAAAGAAGAGAAGTGCCATTAATCTGAGATAGGCCTGGAGGTGTTAAAATTTGGATGTGCTACATTCAAGGTACCTGAATTTATTAAGCAACAAAAAAAGAATTTCCTACGTTGACTTGCATCCTGCATGTTCCCTGTCATTGAATTCTTCCTTTTTTTTAACAAACAGATCTTATTGATCATATTAATCTTTTACCTTAGAAATATAATTACTATAAATTTTAATGTGACTAAAAGACGGGAGCAAATAACCTAGTAGCACTTAAAACCCAACCACCTTTCGAAAAACATAGTTCAGTGATATATAGCAATGCAACAAATTTTGAAACCAGAAAAAATTCTAATATCGACTTTTTTTTTTTTTTTTTGGCAGTACGCGGGCCTCTCACTGTTGTGGCCCCTCCCGTTGCGGAGCACAGGCTCCGGACGCCGCAGGCTCAGCGGCCATGATTCACGGGCCTAGCCGCTCTGCGGCATGTGGGATCTTCCCGGACCGGGGCACGAACCCGTGTCCCCTGCATCGGCAGGCGGACTCTCAACCACTGCGCCACCAGGGAAGCCCTAGAATCGACTATTTTTAAACGACTGCTAGAATAAAGCGTGAGCTCTTGTTTTGTTTGATTTTTAGTTGGTAGGTGGGTGGGGAGGAAAGTTCATTTATTCTACAGGAGAGACTGGGGACAATTAGCATTTAATGCTTATTTGCAGAAAATAAAATCATAAAAGCTCAGAGTATTTTAAATGCCACTTATATAAAATGTGACATTTAGTAGATTTTATTTATTGTTACACATGTGGGACTAATCAGACTTAGAAAAAAATGCAATTTTTCAACAAAAGCAAAAACCAGTGTCTCTGAAAATTTGAGAATGCAATAACATGCCCTCTGGTCCATTTTTTATTTTATTCTTAACAGATAACTAAAAATTCAGATTTAATCTTATTCAATAGCTTAAAATTATTCATTTCCGACTGCCTAGAGGAAAAAGCTCAATGTTGCTTAACATAATATACAAGACACTCCATGAGCCAGCTACCAGCTTTCTTCCCAACTTGACTTTCTATCATGTGTCTTCTTACACATCTCATGCTTGAGCCCAACTTTTCCCAAACTGTGTTCAAAGGGATACCAGTTCAAGACTCACCAGAGAAAAAGGGCTCCATGGTCAAATACATTTTGCAAATTAATGCCAAAGACATTTCCCTCTTAGAGACGTGGAAATAGTCTATTATGAGCACTATAAAATGCAGCATTCCCCATACTTATTTGACCACAGAACCCTTTTGGTGTAACAGCTACTAACATGCCCAGCAACATATTTCAAAAAAGCTCCAGGCTTATTAATGATGCAAAGCTTTGTACCAGTCATTCTGTTTCAGAGTTCTGGGCCTTTGCATTCATTCTCTCTGCCAGGATGGCTCCATCACTCTAGTTGGCTTGGTGAATTTAAGCCTTCTTTCAAGTCTCAACTCTCCTAACCTTTGAAGTCACGCCCACGTTTCCTCTTTGCCCCTCTCTGCCCCCAGAAAATATCAACACTTTTTCCTTCTCCCCACAAGTATATTACATTACAATTACTTGCTTATTTATTTATTTATTTATTGCGGTACGCGGGCCTCTCACTGCTGTGGCCTCTCCTGTTGCGGAGCACAGGCTCCGGACGCAGAGGCTCAGCAGCCATGGCTCACGGGCCCAGCCGCTCCATGGCATGTGGGATCTTCCCAGACCGGGGCATGAACCCACGTCCCCTGCATCGGCAGGCAGACTCTCAACCACTGCGCCACCAGGGAAGCCCACAATTACTTGCTTCTTTGTCCGTCTCGCATGATGGTAGAAACTTTTTTTGTGTGCTTAGTTCTCCTATGTGGTGCTCAATTAATGTTAATAGAATTAACTGCAAACAGGCTTTTAAAAATGATTTTCTACTTATTCTTTAATGTTTTCAATATTTCCCTTCCTCATCTCACACTTATATTTAAATGATCTAGTCTTTTAAAATATAAAACTTACTTATGCATCATTAATGCTTTATTTTGCTTTTTCTCAAATGACTAGAAGGTGTTAATAACTATATCACAACTAATGAAATCACACTCTTAATTAGCCAAAGCATTTTCACTTTAGGAATGCATGACTTTCACAGAATAGGAAGTTACTTATGGTACTCAACACCCTGTTCCCAGAGTCTTCCTAAGGAAAAGCACCCAAGAGCACCACAGACATTTGAAGTTCTATTTATGAACATCTAAAGTCGGTGGAATTTTCAAATTCTAAAACTTTATAAAATCCCAGAATAACATACTTACAACCCATTATTGCCTTTCTTGGGCTCCCATGTCACTTGAGTCAAGACTCTATTACCATCTTTGCTATATATATTCATTTATTTGTTGCTTCTCTATCATCTGACTAGACTGTAACTCCAGGGAAGTGGAGATTCACCCACAATGACTGCTAACTCAAAAGTTACTGAATGAAGATACATTCTTTCTGGCTCAATAAAAAGGTCCAAAAGGACTCTACTAAGCAGAGTAAGACCTAGCAGAGGTATAACAGAAAAAGGACTAGATGGGAATCATACAACTAACATTCCTGACTTGCTACTTGTGACATTGTGTTAGTTTCAGTTCCCCATCAGTAAAATGATATTTGCTCTAACTTACTGGACTTGTGAAGATCCAAGGAGATCATTCATTCATTCAAAAAGCCTATATATGTATATTATGATGTTAATATGAGAGGTGGTTAAATTTACTTATTCCATTGAAGCAAAACGAAGCATAATGACTACATTTTTCCAGGACACTGGTGTGTATAATCCAGTACCTAGCTCTAAATTTTGATGAATCAGGTTTTACACAAAGCCTCAACAAATGGAAAAAAAGTTTCAAGCAAAGAATGGTTCCAGCTCTAAATCACAAGTTATGGCCTCTGTGATCAAGACTGACTAACTGCGGGCTTCCCTGGTGGCCCAGTGGTTAAGGGTCCGCCTGCCAATGCGGGGGACACGGGTTTGTGCCCCGGTCAGGGAGGATCCCGCATGCCGCGGAGCGGCTGGGCCCGTGAGCCATGGCCGCTGGGCCTGCGCGTCCGGAGCCTGTGCTCCGCCACGGGAGAGGCCACAGCGGTGAGAGGCCCGCGTACCGCAAAAAAAAAAAAAAAAAAAAAGACTGACTAACTGCATATCTATTCACCTACTCCCATGGAGAGGGACAGCTTTATGGAACTTAAGTGTTAGAAGCAAAGAGCAAGTTCTGTGCACTGAACAATGATTACTTTTTATTTTTACTTTCTAGAGTAAGGAGTAAGTCTTGATATAATTACCATTCCATTTTCAATAAATTCAGGTATACCAACGTAAGAAACACATGTCAAGACTTAACATTGGCGTCAAATACCATATGCTCCGGCTCACACATTGTTCACCTATCGGCCCCCAAAACTAAAATATGATCCAATGGCAGATCTGCCTGAAAGACGATTCAGCTTTCACCGATCAAGCTTCATGTTCACTGCTCGAGACAGAATACATCCTAAAAAAATGCCCCACCCCCCATTCCTGGACTACTCTATCTTGCCTTTTCTTTTTTTAAGTTTCTTTTTTTTGAATTTTATTTAATTTATATTTTTATACAGCAGGTTCTTATCAGTCATCCATTTTATACACGTCAATCCCAATCGCCCAATTCATCACACCACCATCCCCACCCCTCTGCGGCTTTCCCCCCTTGGTGTCCATACGTTTGTTCTCTACATCTGTGTCTCAACTTCTGCCCTGCAAACCCGTTCATTTGTATCATTTTTCTAGGCTCCACATATATGCGTTAATATACGGTATTTGTTTTTCTCTTCCTGACTTACTATCTTGCCTTTTCGAGCAAGGCTTTCAGACATAAAAAGCCTCAGGAGTATTTCCAAATATTACCTCTTCTGAGAGGAACTACTCAAAGGATGTGTAGTACTAAACATGTGTTTCCTGTACATTCTGCAGCCAGCTCTCACGTCTACTCTTTGAAAACACGAAAATCCGACTTAAGTTAACCTAACAGAAACAAGAGCTACGTGATGTGAGACACTGTGTCGCCTGGGCAAGTGTGATAACTGACACAACTTCCATGAGTCCGAGTTACTTTGAAGACAGCCCCTCTGGGAAGACAGTACACCCTTTTCTCTCTGCAGTCATTTCAACCTCTTACAATACCTCAACTGCAGAGAGAACCCCAGGCCCACCCTTTTCCAGGGACAGGGGGTAGAGAAGAAATCCAAGGAGCGCACAGAGGATTTGGGAATGGAGACCGCAGCAGAAGAGTCCACTGAAGCAGGGGTCGCCTCAGACCAACCTGGACCCCTCTGGTGCGCCTCAGGCTTCTCAGAGCAAGCCCCGAAGGAGACACTATGGGAGGTGAGTCTAACCTGAGAGGCTGCGGGCGCTTGCTACCGCGGGAACAAGCTTAGTTGCCGAGAGTATCCAAGGCATAACCGCCACACTCGCACTTCAGGAAGGAAACGCGGAAAACTGACGATGATGCCGCCGCCGGCAGGGTTGAGTCGCCCGGAAACCAGGCCAGGCGTCCCTCCCCTTCCGGCCGGCGCTGCTCGACGGGCTTTCCTCCCACAGGGGCGCAGTATGTTGACGTCACGCCCGGAGCTGTGACCGCCGCTCCGGCCGGAGGGCCACCCTGGCGTCATGACGTCATGTTCCATTTAACGGCCACAATCACAGAATATTCTATTCTAAATGACTCCCCGCAGGGGCTGACAGCTCCCGCCTCCTTGAAAGCACCGGATAGGAGGTTGATCCATCTAGAGCACTGTTCTGAGTGAAGATAAGAATCCGTGCATGGAGAGGCAGGCACCAGCACGAACAGCCACACTTCTAGAAGATTCTAGCCAGTGCACAGCCCGGCGGTAGAGGAATAGGAATGAACGGGCGAAGGACCCGGGGTCACGAGACCGTTGGGTGGGCGGAGCCAGCGGCCGGGGAAGTTCTAGTCTGTTCTGCCTCTCAGCAGCCGCCCCCTTTACGCGGTCACGCTGAGCTAGCCCGGGCTTGGGATCGGGCCGCAGCCTCCGCCGCGCCAGCCGTCTCCTGCTGCCACCCGCCGCCTCTTGCTGTCTCCCGCCGCCTCCGGACCATGGACCCCCGCAAAGTGACCGAGCTTCGAGCCTTTGTGAAAATGTGCAAGCAGGACCCAAGCGTTCTGCACACCGAGGAAATGCGCTTCCTGAAGGAGTGGGTGGAGAGGTGAGACCCGGGCCTGGCCGATGGGGGAGGGAACAGGGACGGCGGGAGGGGGAGCTGGGCCCGAGCTGGCGCGGGGCGGAGGAACTTGGAGCTCGGCGGCGAGTCTCGCTCCCTGGCGGCGACCTCGAGGGGCTCGTGGAGGATCGGGAAGCTTAGATGGTTCAGAGGCAGGGAAGGAAAAGGCAGAGCTGGGTTCCCTCCGCTCTGAGGTCGCCAGGGGTGTGTCTTCGGCGAAATACGGAGATGCAGATGGTTGCGGGCAGCAGGACACTGTAGCCGTGAGGGGGAGGGGTGAAAGCGGCAAGACTTAGATTTCGCATGGAGTTGTTTTTCTTGAAATCTCTGGTGTCATGCTGAGGTCGCAGTGACACGAAGCAGCTCCTTTACGCACTGTGCCTTTAAAAAGTGGTGTGATGTGTAAGTTATTTAATAAGTTACAATAAAAGTGGTAACTGTGTTTGATTACTTTTACAATTACAGCGATTCTAAGTGCGTAGAGTTATTTTGGGAATCGCTTATTGTACCTCCGTAGTGGCAGTGCCATCACGCCAAACACTTTTAAAAAACTGATTTTTCAAGGACCCACATGTTAACACGATCTATTCTTGTTATCTTTAACTCCAGAGTACGGCGCTACGAGCGTGGAATTAATTGGACAGGCATTGTGCCAGGTGCTAGCTAGGAAACAGTTTAAGTACAATCTATTTAGGGATACAGATGGATAAGTACAGAAATTCGTCTTGATATTTAGCATGTAATAGAGATTAGTATTCTTCGTATTGAAGGGGAACTTAAGGGAGAAAGGGAACTCTTCCCCGAGATGATTCTTTAGAGTCAGTACTCCTGGTGAGGAATTTAAAAGAGATGACACACAAATTGCATCTCACGGTGATAAATAGCGAGTAAAAAGGGATAAATAGTGTAAAACAATATGACTCCTAAAAGATACTACCCTAAACGTTGATTTGTTTATTTTAGTAACATTTTTATAGGGGAAGATGAACCAACGATTAGCCAACATTTGAAAGAATATTTCTTCCAGTGAGCTTGTTCTAACGAAGAAACTTAAGTTCAGATCTATCAACGTTGTCTGTGGTGGGATAGTAACTTTTTTTCTCTAAGAATTTTCTCAGTCCTTTTTTCCCCCACCAGTTTTCTAGCTACTGTAAGATTTTTGCTCATGTTAATTTATGTAAAATTCTGAGAACACTTACAATTAGTTACTGTAGTAGCTTAATAACAGTTGTTAACAGTTAATACCGTTTTGCAAATTGTGCTTTTTAACAGAAAAATTTTTAGGACTAGGAATTGGTCTAGATTTTAGTCATTTTCTCTGTTGAGTAACTTGATCCAAAAATGTCACTTAAGATATTTGTATGCTTTTGTCCTCCTCTTACTTATTCATTGGAGAAAAGAGCCTACAATTAATAAGTTCTTAAAATTCCAGGTAAAGCGGACCTATACTGCAGGAAGAAATATCTGGCACCAAGAGTGAGCGGTATATTGAGTGGATACAATGTTATGTTCCACTCCCAGAGAGGTAGAGGACACTGTGAGGAAAAAGTTAACACGCATCCGAGAGCAGTGTTGTAACTTGTGCTGGAGTGATTGTGGCTGTGTAGAGAATTCCGATTTATGGTCTGAAAATTCTGGCAAGTATTGTAGTCTCTGAAGTGTATCAGTTCCTCTCTTTTCTGTCTTGGTATCAGTCTTCTTAAAGCAGTCCAAAGTTATAGGAGATAGGGTTGAATGTGGAGACTCCTAGGTCCAGTAATATTCCTAAACCTAATCCTACTTTTAGGGTTCCTCAAGTAGAAACCATCTCAGGTTTTCCTTTAGTCCATACTAAATTAGTCATGGATATCCAGGCTTAGACATTGAAGAACAGTCCATTTGCTTATTTGCCATAATTTCTACTATTGTTTATAGCTTAAAATTTTATTTGGTTTTAAGAATATATAAGTTTAATAAATTGAACAAGAGAAATATGAAGAAAAAAATTTTGGCCCAATAGTCAGTGGGAATCAGGGAGACTACATTCTTTCCAAGAAATAATGTTTTGGAATATTTTTGTTTTTCTAGGGGGAGAAGTATTTTCTGATGCTATTTTCTCCTATATCACAACTCGGTCTACTTTGTATCTTGCAGTTACTTTTATCCTTTTATTTTATGGCAATTTAAGATCAAAGGGAGAATCTTTGTATTCTAGTCTCCAGCACAGTGCATGCATGGCACATGGCTTTTCAGCAGATTTGTTTTTTTTGTGTGTGTGTGTGTGGTACGCGGGCCTCTCACTGTTGTGGCCTCTCCCGTTGTGGAGCACAGGCTCTGGACACGCAGGGTCAGCGGCCATGGCCCACGGGCCCAGCCGCTCCGCGGCATGTGGGATCTTCCTGGACTGGGGCATGAACCTATGTCCCCTGCATCGGCAGGTGGACTCTCAACTACTGCGCCACCAGGGAAGCCCTTCAGCAGATATTTTAAATGACGTGAACAGGATGCATTTGTACCCTCAGTGAATTTAAAATATAGCACCCAGTGTTTTGTACATGTGTGTAAGTAAATATAGCACAGAGTAGGTTTAATATTACCAAATTAAGAGAATTATGACTGAAGTCTTGTGTGGTCCCACATAAATGCCTATATTGGCAAAGTCCAGTTTGCAATTTTTGGCGGAGAACTATCTTGTTTTAAATCTTGGAATCATAAAATGAAACTTCTGTACGTATAAATTGGTGTTACCTTCCAATAGTTAACTAGAATTTGGAATGTGAGAAACTCTAAATGTAGTTTATGAATAAACCCTCTTGGGTTTTCCTCCCAAGTTTTAAATTTTTTAATTTTTTGGAAACAGTTTCTAGCTTGCAAACAAAATGCAAGTATAGTACAAGGAACTTTTTTCCTGAACTATTTCCAACACTGTGTCCCCAACACCATTTAGGGTGTGTTTTCTGCAAACAAGGACAGTCCTCTGCAGTACAGCCGTCAACTCAGGAAACTGATACTGATACATTAATAGTATCTAATCTTGAGAATTACATGTTACACTTCGTACTCATGTCTCTTCGTTCTGAAATAGTTCTTCAGTCTTTCACTGATTTTCATGACCTTGGCAATTTTGAATATTATGGGTCAGTTATTTTGCAGAATTTCCCTCAGTTTGGGTTTGTCTGATATTTCCTTAGGATTAGATTTAGTTTAACACATTAGTTGGCAGGACTGTCACCTCCCAAAGTTTTAACATAAATTACACTGTTAGGACTGTGTTTGGATGTCACTCTAAATACATTCTTGGATGCTGCATTTTGAAACTTAGGAAAAACACAGTTTAGGAAGTCTGGTGCCTTCATTAAAATTTAACTGCAAAGAACTGGTATTTGATTACTGTGCTCTTTTGAAAAGTTTTTCGGTAGAATAGAATTTTAAAGAATTTTGTCCTGTTTGTGTGCTTGTTCCCTATCATTAAACCATTTCACTTTGCTGAATTGCGTAGTTAGATGTTTTGGATTGTGTAATGATTGGCACATGGGAGCCATTTTTCCTTATCAAAGGTACTGAGTAACTGAAGATTTTTTTTGTTACTGTCACATTAAACAGAATGGGAAAGGTACACATTTTTCTTAATTGAATGGTACATACAAGAAATTGCAAATTTTGTTTCTCATTACATTTGTTACTTTGCATTTATACTTTTACTTCATGTTGGCCTTATCAAAAGATACTATTGAGTGAATAGGCAAGCCACAGGGTGGGAGAAGACATTCGCAACTTGTAAAACTGACAGAATGTGCATATGCGGAATATACAAAGAACACCTACAAACATGATAGACAACCTAATAGAAGGCTGGACAAGAGGTGAACTTTACGAAAAAGGTTTTTAAAATGGCCAGTAAATGTATGAAAAGAGACTCAAATTACAATAAGATACCACTACACACCTGTTAAAAATGCTAAATATTTAAAAGATGGACAGTAGCTAAGTGTGGAACAGATGAATTCTCATACACTGGTAATAGATGTGTAAGTTGGTAAAAGAACTTTGGAAAACCAATATCTATTTAAATCCAGTATACTCATACCTTATGTCCAGAAATCCCACCCAACTGAAATTAATGTAAGCATGGCTCTGATAACTAGTTATAAAGAATCGACGCTTACACGTGTTTTGGACTAGGTTCCTATCTGTTTTCCAAGTTAACATATCTTTGTTTTACATAAAAGTTAATGGCCTCTTTTTTTTTTTTAAGGCACATGTTAAGTCTTGGTGATCTCCAGCTCTCACTATTGTGGAGTGCTCTTAATCCACTGAATTTTTTAATCACTGGACCGTTGCATGTAGCCCTTATGCTTAGAAGGAGCATATGGCACTAATTCTTCATGGTCTTATTTTTTCCTTATTTTTAAGTTATTTATGTATAACTCACTTGGTTGGCCTGGAGTATTTGGGAAAGAAGGGCTTGCAAGGCTAAGAAGAAATTCTAATGGGTGAAATTTAGAGGTGATAAGGAGAAAATTTTCAGTGTGAGGGGCATATGAATATAACCAAGAAGAACCCTTGTAGGTACTAGTCAGAGGAAACAAATGTTTTGAATCATTACACTGTGACTTCATACGGTTATTTTATAAACTGCCTATTTGAATTTAATTGAGCTATTCTTACTAAATGTCAAACTTTTGATTCAAAAATTCAAAGTTTTGGATTCGAGTATATCTGCTGAACTCTAACAACTTGTACAAATGATTTTGTCATTGCATGTTTCTCTACCTCTTTTCCTTTTTCTCTGGGAATGGGCAGAGAAGCTATATAATTAAGTTTATTAGACTTATTGAGACAAGGAAAGGGTTAGATTTTTATTAACCAGTATCCTAAAAGTAAATAAAATTTTAAGCTGAAAGAAACTTACAATACTGAAGCATTCAAATGAGTTTACCCTTAGAGGTTTGAAAAGGTAACTATTTAAATATGCAACCTTTTTCTCAGCATAAATAAATGTTTCTTGGCTTACTGAATTTTAGTTTTCTAAACAAATATCTTTTCTTTCATCTTTCTCAAGCATGGGGGGTAAAATACCACCTGCTACTCATAAAACTAAATTGGAAGAAAACACCAAGGTAAGCTATGAATTTCATTTGTATGTTTACTGATAAAGTACAATAAGGTTTCTTAGGGATGTTTGTCACCTTCTGCCCTCAAATTGCCATTCCTGATTTCCCTGAGAAATCACTTGGAAGTAACATCTTTGTAAAATTTCTATTTGGACATCAAATCTCTATAATCTGGTTTAACACTGAGAATGTGGGGTTGAATGTTCACTATGTTGTATAGAGTAAGTGAGAATAAATGCTGGATATATGTTATATGCATGACCTGTAAGTGGTAAGCTCTGTGTCTGTGTGCATTTGTAGTCTTCATCTTTATTTATTATTTTTTTTAGCCACTCAGTGCTGCTTGTGGGATCTTAGTTCCCTGACCAGGGATTGAACCTGGGCCCACAGCAGTGAAAGTGCTGAGTTCTAACTACTGGACTGCCAGGGAATTCCCATTCATCATTTTTGGTTGGTTGTTTTTTAGCACGTAGCATAGTGTTTTTGTAGGTACTTTATTAATATTTGGAAAGTAAATGAAAAACAGCCCAAATTAGTTACTCTCAATTTTTTTTTCTGCCCTACCACCTGAGGGATATTTCTGAGTGTGGTTCATGGAGTTGCTTTAGCATATTTGCCAAAAAGGTGTGTACAAACAGGAGGAGGTTGCTGTATCTAAAGTTTAGAGATGGGGGTGGGGGAAGATGTACTCTTAATGCTCCCTTGGGACTTCCCTGGTGGCACAGTGGTTGAGAACCCGCCTGCGAATGCAGGGGACACTGGTTCAAGCCCTGGCCTGGGAAGATCCCACATGTTGTGGAGCAACTAAGCCCGCGAGCCACAACTACTGAGCCTGTGTGCCACAACTACTGAAGCCCATGCACCTAGAGCCCGAGCTCTGCAACAAGAGAACCACCGCAATGAGAAGCCCGTGCACCACGACAAAGAGTAGCCCCCGCTCGCGCCATAACTAGAGAAAGCCCGTGCACAGCATTGAAGAAGACCTAATGCAGCCGAAAATAAATAAATAAATAAATAAATTTTTTAAAAAAAGAATGCTCCCTTTGGAATTCCTTTTTCTCCTATTTTCTGCCTTCATGTCTAAAAGGTTTTTTTCCTCAGAGTCTTCTGACTAGCTGTCTTAAATTGATAAGAAAATTTGCTGTTTTATTATTTAGCTTATCTTTGAACAGTGAAATGAGAGAAGTTAAGTAAAAGCTTCAGAAGTAGTAATTCTTTTTTTGGTGAGTCAGTTGTCAGAGTTTGGTAGATTCTGAGCCCTAGGTAAGGTATTTTGCCATGTGATACATGTGTGAAGACAAAATTGTATTGACTTTTATCTCTGCTAAAAAATTTTTATTTTGCGAAAGTAGTATGTGTTTGATTATGGGGAGTTGTGGACTACAGTGCCTGTTAAGGGTGTTACATAATATGTGGTATATCCACTTTATTAGCTTCCTAAAATCCAAAATTTTAAAAATTCTAAAACTCATTTTCTAAATGGTTTGGATGAGGGACTGGACCTATACTTAATTAATTTATTTATTTTTATTTATTTTTTTTTGGCTCCGTTGGGTCTTCGTCGCTATGCGCAGGCTTTCTCTAATTGTGGCGAGCGGAGGCTACTCTTCATTGCGGTGCATGGGCTTCTCATTGCAGTGGCTTCTCTTTGTTGCGGAGCACGGGCTCTAGGCGCTTGGACTCAGTTGCAGCACGTGGGCCCTACAGCACGCAGGCTTCAGTGTTGTGGCACGTGGGCTCAGTAGTTGCAGTGCATGGGCTCTAGAGCACAGGCTCAGTAGTTGTGGCGCATGGGCTTAGTTGCTCCACTGCATGTGGGGTCTTCCCGGACCAGGGATTGAACCTGTGTCCCCAGCATTGGCAGGCGGATTCTTAACCACTGTGCCACCAGGGAAGTCCCTTTAATTTAAAAAGAGAAATAAAAATAGAAAGCAAAAGCTAGTTTACCAAAACAAAACAAGAAAGAGCATCAACAACTGAAATACATTGTTTCTGAATAGTTTATACATAAATTGGTATAAATTAATAGCATATATGTTGGGTGTGTTATTAAATGCTGATAGCATTGTTTGCCTTCCTTTTGCTAGGAAGAAAAAACAGATAGTAGGAAGGCGGAGGAAAACATAAAGACAGACGAACCATCAAGTGAGGAGAGTGATCTAGGTGAGGAGATGGTAGTTAGTTTGTATTTGATAATCTCATGATATGGTCCTGTGTTGATTTTTACTGAATTGACTAAATTAGTGCTATCTAATAGAAGTATAACGTGAGCTACATATGAAATTTAAAATTTTCTAGTAACCACGTTTTAAAAATTTAAAGCAGTTGAAATTAATTCAAATAATATATTTTAAACAATATGTAAAATGGTACCATTTCAGCATGTAATCAATATGGGAAAATTATTAATGAGCTGTTTTCCTTTTTTCATACTAGGTCTTCAAATCCAGAGTATTTATAGCATATCTCAATGCAGATGTTACCTTTTTAATGGAAATGCTTGATCAGTATTCAGACTTCATGAAATTTGTATTTGAATAAGTTGGGTCAGATACCCAGGTTTTTCTAGACATATGTAAAAGTTTTCCAATAAATGAATCCAGTACCAAAAAATTATTTTCCTTTAGTACCTGCATCTGTGTTAATAAAACTGGTTCAGTTTAGAAGAATTGATGTCTATGCCATGGGCTTGGGGTTTTATTTGTTTGTTTGGTTTGGTTTTTTTAGACTGAAAACAGACAAATTTCTTCATAAATTTGGAGGTCCTTTGAGACTATAAATGTATACCCCAGTTATTAATTGGGCAGTCTCTTAATTCACAGAACTTATCTAAAAGCTTAAAAAAAATACTCATTTTTCAAATTTTTTTCAAATTTTGAGTCCGTTGATCTTTGGTATGTTAGAAAGGGTTTGTTGTTTGGGGGCTTAATCAGATCTTTTACTTTTTGTAAAATTTTTTTAGTCTTACAATTTTCTAACAATTACCATGACTAATATTTTTTAAAAAATTAACTCCATCTAAAAGCATTTTGTGCAGGAATCAAGCTGTTTTATAATTAGAAGAAGTTACAAGCTCAGTTCCTGTTAAAAATTGATTAAAATTATTGTTGGATGTTAATTCTGATTTCAGGTAGCCAATTTTAATTTCATTCTTTTTTGACAGTTGAGAGGAAACTGCTTTTATCACATTTACTCTTTGCTAAAAATGTCTCTTAATGTTTATTGTTTAAAAAATTTTTGATATATAACAGTTACTTTGTTTTGTTTATACAGTTGTCCATCATGAAGTTTGCAGCATAGCTCTTTGTAGTGCTATCTTTGGGGGTCAGTTCTGTACGAGTAGTATACTTTTAGTTTAAAATTTATCCATACTATGTTTTCAAAGGCAGAAAATGGTAAAATTAAATATTTTATCATGATTTACATCAGATTATCACTATAACTTGTGCTATCTGCATAAAATATTTTTTAAAAAATTATAGTATATTGGTGTGTAGAACACAATATTTCAACTGAATCAGTTTGTTGACACTGACTAAATCAGTATGTCTGTGTAATATGTAATAGGAATAGAAACTATGCACTTGCCAGAGTACCTACTACAATATGATAATAAATACCTTGCATTATGTGACTATTAAAATGAAATATAATTTTACCAAAACAATAAGATTATGTTTAACAGGGAAATATTTTACAGTACCAGTTTAAATAAAATTAACAAAGTAAAATATTTAAATTAATCTAGAGTAAAATGTTCAGTTCATCAGTTGCACTAGCCCAGGTTAATTAATTTTTAATAGCCTCATGTGGCTAGTGGCTACTATATTGGATAGCCCAGGTCTTATTTTCATTTTCTTAACTTCAACAGAAATTGACAATGAAGGTGTGATTGAACCAGACACTGATGCCCCTCAAGAAATGGGAGATGAAAATGTAGAGGTAAGTTCAAAGGCTTATTTTCTGCTTGCTGCCAGGAATGTGAAAGCCTACCTACTGTAATAATTTTATGACATCTCTCTTCTAGGAAAAGCGCAAGTTGAATCTTTCTCTGACTTAAGGCATCTAGGAAAGCATTTTATTCTTTAAAATATTTGTGAAAATTCCCTTTATTTTTAATCGTAGTCTCTAACAATCTCTGAAATACTTGTTTTGTTTACCTATTTCAGTTTGCATCTGGTTCGACTGCTTTTGAGACCATAGAGTTCATCTAACATTTATTTCTACAAGTGGAATTGCCTGTTAATGGGATATCTATTGCCAGTTTTCTAAAATGGTTTTGTCCCAACAAAAGATATTGCCCTCAAGGTGGTGAAAATCGGTTCTTGGGACGGGGGCTTGAAAAAAACTTAGGTGTTACAATGGTTAGTGGTACTCCAAAGGTCATAGCACATTCACATATATGCACTATATCTGCAGTATTAAAATGGAGGGGGTGAGAAGTAAGAAAAAATTGCCTAAAAAGGCTCTTTGGGGGTTGATAATGAAACAAAGCTTGAGAAACATTGTAATATACTAATTGCAGTTTAAAAGATTGGTCCATATTCTCACCAGTTCTTGATATTGTCATAATTCATCTTTGCCAACCTTACTGTGTGAAATGATATGTCCTTGTGGCTTTTAAGTTTGCATTTTCCTGATTTCTAATAAAGTTGACATATTCTCATGTTTATTGGTTATTCACAGGTGCTTGTGAAGTCTTATTCTGACTTTTCCCTTTTTTTTTTTTTTACTGGTTTATCTCTTTCTTGCTGATTTTTAAGTTCAGTTTATATTCTGCTAACAGTTGATGCCAACAGTTTGTCTGTGTGCTCCACATTTTTTTCTACTAGTTTGTGGTTTTTCTTCACTTTCTTTACATTGTCTTAGTATACAAAGTCTTTTTTAAAATATTTTAATTTTATTGGAATATAGTTGATTTACAATGTTGTTAGTTTCAGGTGTACAGCAAAGTAATTCAGTTATACATATACATCTATTAATTCTTTTTCAGAATTTTTCCCATATAGGTTATTACAGAATATTGAGTAGTGTTCCCTGTGCTGTACAGTAGGTCCTTGCTGGATATCTATTTTATATACAGTAGTGTGTGTATGTTAATCCCAAGTTCCTGATTTATCCCTCCCCCCATACAAAATCTTCTAATATAGTTAAATTGAAAGTTCTTTTATATGCTTTATTAAGGTTATAATTGCTGTAATATATTGGTTTTTTCCTTCTGAAAATTTTATGTTTGCCTTTCACCTTTAACCATCAACACCATAATTGAAAAATCCTTTTCCTCACCAATGCCAAAATACACGGTTTCTGTATATGTGTGGGTCTGTTTTGGTGTTTTCTTGTTCTACTTGTCTAATTTTTTTCCATGCACTAATGACACATTGTTGTATTTAGCTTTATATTAAGTCTTGGTATCTTGTAGGGCAAGGACCCCCAAACCTTTAGGAGTAATTTTGGTTGCTATTGGCCCTTTGTTCATCCATATAAATTTTAGAATCAGATTGTTACCCCCCTCCGTTAGAATTGCATTAAACCTAAATTAACAAATGGAGAAGCTACATCTCCTCATTGTTGAGATTATCCATGAATGTGATATCTGTTTTATTTTTAGGTCTTTTTTAATGTCTTTAAATAATTTAACTTTTTCTCCATAACGAATATAAATACTTTGTCAATATTTGTTAAAAAAAATTAATCATGTTCTGTTTATTGATGGTGCCGTTCATCTCGGTGTGTCTAGGTTTATAATACTTTTCATTTATCCTACTTGGGATTTACTGGGCATCGTAAATCCTAGGGTTAACTTTTTTTAGCTCTGGAATATTTTCAGCTAGTATCTCTTTCAAAAATGGCTTCTTTCCCATTCTCTCTACTCTCATTCTGGAGCCGTAGTTAGATACAGACTTTTTCACTATTAAGTTCCATCTCTTTATCACTGACGAATTATGTATGCTTTCTTTGTCTAATCAGCTGTTCCATTGATGTTTGAATTTGAATGCTTGTTTTTCATACTTTCTCTTTGATTCTTTTTAAAGACCACTTGGTTATTTTTAAGTCTCTTGCTCCTTACTCATTTTCAGAACTTGCATTTATTTTCTTAAACACATTAAATTCTTTATCGGACTGTTTTACTGGTCTTATTCTCCTGTTATTTTTCCTGACTCTTGCTCATTGAGGTACTTTGTTTACTGTAGTTTGTGTGTGTGCGTGTGCATGCACGCGTGTATGTGTGGACCATGAGTTCTTGTAAACTTTACCTGTGGAAAGGTTTTGAGGCCTGAGTACAAGGTGTGTTCCTCCAAAGAGAGAGATGTTTGCTTCAATCAAGACGCTGAGTTGGTGCGGCCAGCTCAAGGATCACTTCAGATTCTCAGCATGGTTTTTTCATTGCTTATTTAACTACAGAAGTAATGTGAATTACTTCTGCAAAGGCTGGCTTGTGGTTATGAATTTTCAGGGGAGATTTCTTTTTCTTCTCTCTATATAGGTTTCCCTCTTTGGGACAGGTTTATTTTTGATATACCATTATGCCTGCAGGTATAGGCATTTGGGGTTCCAGATTTGTTTTGGAGGATGTCTGATTAGACAACATACATTTGTATCACCTGAATCTAGACTTTGTTTCATGTGTCCTGCACTATCTTCAGAAACAGAATTGCAAGGTCACCCAGTTTGACACCTTCCACAAGGGTGATAGCAGATGGAGCACTTGGCACCTGGCTGGATTTCAAGCCTTCACTTTATTTTGTTGTTTGAGGATTTCTACATTCTTAGGCCAAAGATGGCTTTTATTGATAAAAGGTGTGTTTTAGACTTGTTCAGAGTATCATGTGCATCATATTGCCATAAACTGAAGTCGTCTTTTTGCAGGTTATCCTGGCTCTGTAGGATGTCTTACTATGTGGAAAGTGTGTTTTCCTTTATTCTTTTAAAAAGTTTTAGTTTGTCCAAAACTTGTAGGGATTTTTGTTGGAAATGCTTTGAATTTATTGAGTAACTTGGGGGTAGATTGATACAGTTGATAATTTTTTCATGAGCATGATATATATCTGTGTCCTTTAATAGAATTTTATCTTTTCCCCTGCTCCCTCCCATGAAAGTCTTGTGTGCTCTTAGAATGGTATCTTGTTCTATTATATTTTATAATTGTTGCTGATGTGGAAGAACTCTGGGTTTGTTTTTTATGTTGCTCTTGTATTCTCTTGTTGTTCTCTTCAGTAAAGAGAACTTTACTGAATTGTCATAGTAGATCTAATAGCTTGTCAGTTCTATTAGATTTTCTAGGTATGTGTATAAAGACAGCTGGTATTTTCCTTCCAGTTTTTAAACGTATCAAATCATTTTCTTAATGATTAGCCAGCACCTTCAGTAATATTTTACAGTGATGGTGATAGAGTGGATTTTTGATTGTTAAAGAAATCGCTTCTTGTAGGAGGTTTACTGTATGTTTTCATTATTAATGATCATTGTACTGTCAGCATCTTGTACGGTGTTTGTTCTCTCTAGTATAGGTGCTCAATAGATGTTCATAGGACCAAAAGAATGAGACATTTCTAAGATTCAAGCCTCTTAGGAACTAGCTTTTCCACTTGTGGAGAGACTGGGTTTTAGTATAGGTATACCTCCAAGATCTCATTGTGAGTTAGGTTCTAGACCACCACAATAAGGTGAGTCACACAAATTTTTTGGTTTCCCAGTGCATGTAGAAGTTATGTTTATACTATGCTGTAGTCTATTAAGTGTACAATAGCATTATGTCTAAAAAACAATGTACATACCTTAATTTAAAAATACTTTATTGCTAAAAAATGCTAACCATCTGAGCCTTCAGCAAGTCATAGTAGTAACATCACAGATCACCATAGCAAATACAATAATGAAAAAATTTGAAATACTGGAAGAATTGCCAAAATGACACAAAGTAAGCAAATGTTGTTGGAAAAATGGCTCCAGTAGACTCACAGCATTGCCAGAAACCTTCAATTTGTAAAATTTGTGCTGTCTGCCAAGTGCAATAAAATAAGCTATGCCTATACTTGTGAATAACTAGAAAGGATTTGGTAAAAACTAGGGCCGAAAAACCTGCTCAGATCGGGATGGAAGGAAGCAAAAGTCATGTCTAGGGCAGAGTATAGAGAATGAAATTTATTATTTAGTATGAAAGATTAAAATGTATCCTGTAAGATTTCTTACTAATCCTTTATTATAATTCTTCTCTTTGTTCCCTTGAGACCAGAGAAAAATGAGTGGAAATGGGGGTTGTGACTACCACATCCCTAAGAAAGTCCAAATTGTTTCCTCCTTCCCTTTGCTTTTCTTCTACTACTTAGTTGATATTCAATTTCCCCATAGATAACTGAGGAGATGATGGATCAGGCAAATGATAAAAAAGTGGCTGCCATTGATGCCCTAAATGATGGTGAGTGATTTTTTTTTTTTTTCTCTTTGCTACATTTCCTACAGTAGTCTGAATATTCTCTTGTCTACGTTTCTGCTGCAGTAACTGTTAATGGTGGGAAACTGGAAGGGAACTTAAATTTATTGAGTATATGGTACTGGAGAAGAAAGCGTCGTGTCCTCCACTCACCCCTTTCCCATTAATAAAGAGGCTGAAATCACTCAGGTATCAATTATCTTGCTTCAGGGCGTGTACAGATCCTGATTGTAACTCAAAGACTGTACTTTCCTGACTATAGTCTAGTGTTTCTCCACTGACAGGAGGCTTTGGAACCTTCTTTATAATAAAAGCCTGATGGGAAAACCTGAAAAAAAAATAATAATAAAAGCTGAAAGGTTTTCCCCAAAAATGGTATTAGATCAGTGATCCTCGACTTTTTACATTGTAACACCTTGACAAATATTGTCCATCAATACAACACTCTTGTTCTAGTTTCTGCATGTTAGAACCCCTTCAGAAAATCCTATCAGAGTGGGAGAGTGCTGGTAGTATTAAGTATTATGTTTAATTAGTTAAAATTTATAAGAACAAATTATTTATTAACTTGGGTACTGTGCAAACCCCTTTATAGCTGTGTGGTGTAGTGTGTCACAATGCCATCATTGAATAGATGCTATTGTATAATGCTGTTGTGCATTTGTACTTCATCCTTAGACTTAGAAGATGACTAAAGTTTTATTTTAGAATGAGTTCAGTATCGATTGCTGTTCAGGTTCCTTTTCATTGTAATCCCACCACCTTCTTAAGCTTAAGTCCTTATATGTTTATACTATTGCAGTTACCTTAATAGTTTGTCTACCTGACATGTCTCTACTTCATTGCTTTCTATTCACTGCCCCTAGATCATTCTTATTTAGAACTTGTTTTTATTGGTACACACTCCTTTGCTTGTAACCTGTAACTAACTTTTGCATACATTTTGAAGCTCATCATAGCATTGGACCTGCTAGAGTCAGATCCTATATTTTGCCTTCCCAGCCTTATTCTTTTTGAGTATTAACCTTCCATTCCAGCCAGACCTCACTTTCCTAGAATGTTCCTTTACTTGTGCTTCTCTGTAAAGCTCTTCTTCACCTATTTCAACTTTTAAGTTGTACCCATCAATTCATCCCCGCCACTTCTCTTCCTGACCATTCCTTTTCCACACTAATCTTTTCTTAATTTCCCTACCACCTAAGATTTCTATTTACCTAGCATATAATTGTGCCTTCTACATTCCTGCCAGCTTTATTATATTTTAATGTGCATTATTTCATTAAAATCTCATACTAGTCCCATTTTACAGATCAGTGAATAATCTGAGGGCTTAGAGGGGTTTTGACTTGCCCAGGATCTTACTGTGCCATACTATCGACTCATTATTTTTGTCACTTATTTTGGCATATTGTATTTTTTAAAATTTACTTATATATTGTCTAAGCAATGTTTAACAAAGTGAAAATGAAGCAGCCACCACCTAATAAGTCACATTTTTGTTTTTCCTTATTTTTTTCCAAGCTATGTTTATTTGTAAATATAGCCTAGTTCTAATTTTAGAATAGGTACAGTTTTATGGTGTATGTTACAGGGATAAAACACTAGTATTATAAGCTAGGGATTGTAGGTTCAGGCCCCACCTGGGGTCGGAGAGGCAGGAATATAGTTAAACCCTGGGTTTAAGGAGCCCAAGTTGCTGGGTTTGAATCCCAGCTCTGGGGCTTACTAGCTACGTAAACTTAGAGAAGTTACTCTCTCTGCCTCTGTTTTTGTTCCCTCCCTTGTAAAATATGGATAATAATACCTACCTAATAGAGTCATAAGGAATAAATGAGTAAATGTGTATAATATGCCTAGAATAGTACCTGGTACTAATATTAAGGTACTGGTACTTTTCTTATTAAGACCTTAGTGTTTCCAGCTGTCACATTATTAGAGGTATTTCTGTTAGGCTTTTTCAGTTTAATATATTTGTTCAACAAATATTTATTGAAGGCTTACCATGTTCCAGATGCTGGATATACAGCGGGAAACAAAGCAGACCAAGTTCTTTACTTCGTAGACTTTATATTTGGGGAGAACAAAAATAAACAAATTTATAATATAAAGTTAGGTGGTAATTAGTGCTATGAAGAAAAATAGAGCTGAGTAAAGGGATAGTCAGTGATGGAAGCTGTATTTTATATAAGGTGGTCAGGAAAGCACCTGATGAAGTGCAGGGAGCAAGCCGTGTAAAGAAGCGCTTTTGGGGACATAGGGGAGAACAAATACAGAGGTTAATTGGGAGAGCGTTGGGGGCAATTACGTGTTCAAGGAATAGCAGAAAGGCCAGACAATCTGGAGTGTGCTGAGCGAAGGGATAAGAGTGGTAGAGTTGAGGTCAGAGAAGTGCTTGGGGGGTGGGAGATGGGGGGTGGGAAGGTGGTGAGGAGGACAGATGATTTGACAGCTCACTAAAGATCTTAGTAGATCATGCTAAGGATATAGGATTTTATCCTTGGTTATGCAAAGCCATTGAGGGTTTTTTGACTAGGAGGATTTCATAGTGAGAAGAATTTACTTTTGTAAAGGATTATTCTTGCTACTCTGTGTAGATCAGATTTTAGGGGCAAATTAATGCTATGTTCATTGGAGAAGTAGAAGCCAAGACATGAGTTGGTGTGGCAGAGGTATATTAGGAAAATACCTGTGAGGCAAGGTGGGGGAGCAGGGAGAACTGGAGGAGTCTGGGAAGACAGTGAGGCTATCATGTAGGTCTTACCCCTCTGTAGGAGAGATGGAAGGTTGTGTAGGAAAAGTCTTCAACGGTGTGTGTGTTTCTAAAAGTCTAGGCAAGCCAAGGTTGCCCATTAGAGGAGTTGCACGTCTCACAAGAATGGGCCTACCTGGGTATCCTTCCTGTATTCAGTCATTAGCTGGGAGCAGCTTATGGAGTATAGCCTTGAGCCTAGAAGGCGGCATTCTCCATCAGTTGTGCTCGCTGCAGCAAATCGAAGGTGCATTTTCATGACTCCACAGAGGGAGGGAAGAAATTTTTGTAGTCCAGGTAGCTAATGATGATAGCTTTGCATTGGGGCAGAGTTTCCCAAACTTGCTCTGTTTATAGTGTCCTCACCATTTTCACTTTTTTCACAGCACTTCTAGGCCAAAAGAAATACATAAGAGTTTAGTTTATAATGTAGTTAGGTTCAAACAATTTAATAAGTATCTATGTCCTAACAAGTTAGTGATTGTTTGAAAAAATACAAATGGAAAGAAAATATATTTAATTTCATTCTTTAATAACCATGTTTATTTTCTAGTAAGCAGTGGATATATGTTGGGCATTAAACAGCTTCTCAGATCTTGGAATCAGATTGGACATTGCCACCCTCACTGCTCCACATCTCTTTTTCTACAGTTCTTGCTTTTTTTTATCATAGAAACAACTTAAAAAGAAATTAATTAATTTTTGGCTGCATTGGGTCTTTGTTGCTGTGCGCGGGCTTTCTCTAGTTGCGGTGAGCGGGGGCTACTTTTCGTTGCAGTGCACCGGCTTCTCATGGCGGTGGCTTCTTTTGTTGCAGAGCATGGGCTCTAGGCGTGTGGGCTTCAGTAGTTGTGGCACGCGGGCTCAGTAGTTGTGGCTCGTGGGCTCTAGAGTGCAGGCTCAGTAGCTGTGGTGCATGGGCTTAGTTGCTCCGCGGCATGTGGGATCTTCCTGGACCAGGGCTTGAACCCGTGTCCCCTGCATTGGCGGGCGGGTTCTTAACCACTGCGCCACCAGGGAAGCCCTGTCCTTTTAACTTAATGGATACAAGAAAATGTAATTAATAGAATAAAATTGACTTATCCTTTGATTTTATCTAAATTTAAAAGCCAATGAGTCCTACCAAGAATGTGGTATTCTAATATTTTTTAGGGGGGTTATGTTCCCCAAAATTGTCTGTCTTGAGTGATTTACAGTATAGGTATGGTAAAGATTTTGCTTTGAAGAGCCAGTTTTGTATGTTAATTTAGAAACTAGTCTTACTAGGCTAAAAGGGAAATGTGAAAGGCTAATTAAAGAGACCAACAGTTTTTATTAATATTTTTTATCCACTATTTCTCAATAAACTTTTGTTTCACTTTAGGTGAACTACAGAAAGCCATTGACTTGTTCACAGATGCCATCAAGCTAAATCCTCGTTTGGCCATTCTTTATGCCAAGAGAGCGAGGTGAGAATTCTAAATAAAAACTGATTTCTGCTTATTTGTTTAGATAGAATTGCTTCTGTGGCAACCCCCAAAAAGTTACTGTTTGAAATGAATACTTTTTAATATCATACTTATTTTTTAGTGTCTTCATCAAATTACAGAAGCCAAATGCTGCCATCCGAGACTGTGACAGAGCTATTGAAATAAATCCTGATTCTGCTCAGCCATACAAGTGGCGGGGGAAAGCACACAGGTAAATAATGAGACTTAGTTATTTTCAGAGCTCTTTAAGTTTAAACCTGATGTTTTAATATACCTTATTTAAAAAAAAAAATCGCAGGATTTCCCTGGCTGCCCAGTGGTTAAGACACTTCGCCTTCTAATGCAGGGGGTGTGGGTTCGATTCCCGGTTGGGGAGCTAAGATCCCACATGCCTCACAGCCAAAAAACCAAAACATAAAACAGAAGCAGTATTGTAACAGACTCAATAAAGACTTTAAAAATGGTCCACATCAAAAAAAAATATTTAAAAAATTGCCTAAGGATTTAATTTTAATGTAATACATGCTCAATATGTAGAATTGAGAGAATGTCATAAGGAACAAGTAAGAAAATAAAAATCCTTTTCAGTGCTTCCATTCAGTGAATACCAGTGTTAACAGTTTTTGGCCACATATAGCCAAATGTAAGGTAAGGATTTTTCTCAGTTATCTCCAAGAAAAGAGAGTGGCTTTATATCAGTGTCTTACAAACTTTCTGTTATTTTCAGACTTCGTAACTTAACATTAAGCAGCCAATATATTATGGAAAAAGGAATATACTAGCTTCAGACTACTTCGATCACTGTTAGGTCACTTGAAGAGTCAGATAAGGGGGAAAATAAAGAGGTGAATTTAACCCAGATCAGTAATCAAACCTGGAAGCAAAACTTAATATACAGATGAGTCTTTGTGGTTTGGGATGAAATGTCCTGTGCTATTTACATCTTACATGGACTGAAAAGGTACTGTGCTTCAAGTGTGGATGGAGATGAAGATGAATATGCTTGGGACCATCTGTATTAGGTGACTCAAAAAGTAGCTCTAGTGATTATGAAGACATGTCAAAGATACAGGCAAAAGAAAAGATTGGAAAATTTGTATTAATGCTCTCTGGGTATATGAACGGTCATGCATTGCTGTTGATTGTCTTGAGATCGACCCCGTTAGTCTTTGAGCATTTCTTGGCCTTCTGGTATAAGAACTCATCTTGTACTTTAGCTTGGAATAGACCAGGGACTTCCCTGGTGGTCCAGTGGTAAAGAATCTGCATTCCAATGCAGGGGACGCAGGTTTGATCCCTGGTCAGGGAACTAAGATCCCACGTGCCACAACTAAGACCCAATGCAGCCAAGAAAGTAAATAAATAAAAAAAAATTTAAAAATACACATATATAACATCAAAGAAAACCATTAAAAAACAGCTTGGAATAGACCATTTCTCCAGAAAATCTTGGTTTGTTTTAGTGGGGATTATTTTGTGGAAACTGAAATTTGGCCACTAGGTATGTTTATTGTTTCCAGGATATCGTCATTGTCATTTCAATTAACAGTCAGAAAAAACCTTTAAAAATAATGATTTTAGGGAAAGAAATTGAGAAATTTTGAGTTTATACCGATATTCTCAATTAAAATTCAACATTAAATGTTTTCCATTTTGTATTTTAGACAGTATTCTCCTAGAATCATGCCTTAAAACTAATATACCCTTTAAGTAAAGTTTATTTTGCAGTTCTTTCTTATCCCTAGGATATGTCTCACTTAAGATATACAGTCAGAATACTGGTTTAAAAATTACTTGAATTAATTTTTCCTGTATGGTTTATGTTGTCAGTGTGATAAATAATTAGCCTCTTTTTATTTCTGTTTGTATTCAGGGTTTGGGCTTGCTTTATTTCTGTCCTTTCTGATTTAATTTTCTTATTTGAGTATGTAAAACATTTGCATGTTTAAAACTGAGTTAATAGGTGTAACCAGAGAAGTCTCATTTCCATTGCTATCTCCTCTACTCCATATTTACCTATCTCCACCAACCTTTAGTTTCTGATCCATCCCACCTCTCGTTTTTATTTATTTATTTTTTTGCGATACGTGGGCCTCTCACTGTTGTGACCTCTCCCGTTGCGGAGCACAGGCTCTGGATGCGCAGGCTCAGCGACCATGGCTCATGGGCCTAGCCACTCCCCACGGCATGTGGGATCTTCCCTGACCGGGGCACGAACCCGCGTCCCCTGCATTGGCAGGCAGACTCTCAACCACTGCGCCACCAGGGAAGCCCCCATCTCTCCTTTTTAAATAATATGTGCACACATGTTGTTTTCTATCCCATATAGAAGGTAGCATGCTGAATACGCATCATGTTAACCCTGTTTTTAATGAGTTGAAAGTTGTGGCTCTATATAATTTTTTAAAACATCATAATACTGTGAATTAAAACAATTTTTTAAAAGCTTTTAAACATTTTTTAGTAGAACAGCTTCACAGTTACCATAGAGGAAATTTAAACTAAATTTTTATGGAGTGGAACATACTAATTGGTTCATGAAAATTTGTAGTTGAATATCTAAACCTCTTCTGTAACAGTCCTTTTTTATAATAAGGAAGTAAGACACCATGCTACATAAGTGAATATGTGTAAAAGGCTCCAAAAATTACTTAAAATCTGTTTCAGACTTTTGGGCCATTGGGAAGAAGCTGCCCATGATCTTGCCCTTGCCTGTAAGCTGGATTATGATGAAGATGCTAGTGCAATGCTGAAAGAAGTTCAACCAAGGGTATGGTAAAGTAGAGAAGGGAAAAGTCATTACTAATGGCTCTAGTACTTAGCACCCTAGCAGTAAATTAACTGCAAAACAGATGCAAAGAAACAATCTTTGGAAGTTATAATCTGTAATCACTTAAATTTGTGTTGAACTCAGGAAATCTCATTGGGTTTTCATGCTTTAATTTCTCATGCAGTATTACAGCAAGCTATGTTATTTTGTTTGCAACCCTGCAAAATTATAATCAGAAGGTTAGAAATGGAAAAGGGGCATCAAGTTTAAAGCAAAAGAACAAATAGAAAATTTATAAAATGCAGCCCAAGATTGAGTCTGGTTTGTCCTTATTTCTATCTAAAATTGTTAGTTAAAACAACTTAGTGCGTTTACATGGTAAATCTTTCAGCTTTGTGGGAAGTTCAAGAATCTACTCTCAGAGGCTTTAAGATGGTGGAAGTTTTATTGAATTTAATCTATCAGATGATTTGATTTTCTTTCTTTTTGTAACAGGGCTAACTCAGCAAGGTTATCGGATGAGATATTCTAGAACACAGGGTTCTTAAAAAATAATCATAAACAAGCTAAAATAATGGTTGAATATGAATCTCATACGTTTATATTATTCTGTGAATAAATACTAGATTCCAAATGTTTGGCATGGACTATGTACTAGTGCCTGGTACATATTTTCTCTTGATTGTTATAGTTAAGACTAACATACTTCTCCCTGCCCTCTCATTTTATCGATGAGGAAAACTTCAGTATAGTTAGACTGTGGGAAGTAACTGGTATGTGTGTTCCCAGTCTCTGCCTTCCCATGGCAGGTATCAGGCAAAAATTGTCATGCAGTTTGACATCTGTTTGTCATCCTTGCACTAGGTAATTGTTTCAAATTTTTAACACTTTTCTCTAACTTCAAATCCCAGCTTCTTTTCTTTGTTTCACAGTGGACTTGTTAAAGCCTGAGTTAGGTCTTTTTCTATAGGGTAAATCTAACCCATTTTTCACAACTATGTGTTGAATTAAATCTCTCCACAAAGAAAAGTAATTCTTTAACAAAACCATTGATTTGTGCTGACCTTATTCAACTTTCAGAGAAGACATTTTTCTGTGGCTGTTTCTTCCCTAGGCCCAGAAAATTGCTGAACATCGGAGAAAGTATGAGCGAAAACGTGAAGAGCGAGAGATCAAAGAAAGAATAGAAAGGGTCAAGAAGGCTCGGGAAGAACATGAGAGAGCCCAGAGGGTAAGGTTTCTATACTTAAACCATTAAAGCAAAATATAGTAGATGTGACTTTTGGATGTCATTCTAATTCCTGGCTCTTGTTAAATAAAAAGAGCTGGCTGCAGTTCTATAGGATAGTGATACTACTTAAAGGAAGTTTTCCTTCCCTTCATTGCTTAGTCTTCAGATTCTTAAGTGAGTTTGTATAGCACCAATTTATATCCTTGTTTGTGTTCTCCTAAAATCAAGACTTTTTCCTGATCAAGTAATTAATTTAAAACTTGGCAGTATTATTTGCTTTCTTTAGGATGCAAGCCCTGATATTTTAAGTTTTATGATTACTTCCGTTTTAATAGTGGATTCATAGCTATTTAAAATTGACTCTAGTTATTTTTTAGTTTTAGTTACAAATCAAAAATATTACTTGCAATCATTACCAAAAGTAATACTCATTGAGAATCCAATTGAAAATTGTTTTTTGGGAGATGGGGTGTCTCCTTTAGTCCAACATTGCCATTTGAAACTTGTCAAAACTTGTAAGTCCTCTAACTAGCTTATTTTACAATTTTTTCATGGTTTTGCATGGATAAGGTAGGCGTGGACAGCAGACTTCCCCCTTCTTATTATATAATTTATTTCCTCTTTGTATTAAAGGAGGAAGAAGCCAGACGACAATCAGGAGCTCAGTATGGCTCTTTTCCAGGTATTTTGAAAGAAAAATTAAAACTCTTAATATTGTAAATAATTGGGTAATATTCTGATTTGGAGGCTCAGGTATGTATATTGTATTTTGTACCATTAGTCCCTGGAACACTGAGTCTTTAGAATGTCAGCCTCTAGAAGGTTTCATTCTTGTTAAAAATTTTGTTAGTGGAAATACAGTATATTATTTTCCTCATATTTTGAGCAGTATACTTTTTAAAAATAGATAAAATTTACTGAGGTCTGAGCATTGTATTTTATTAAAAGACTATAAGAATTTATTATGATGTATTAATTAGAGTATTCCTAAATGGCTGTAATGGAATTTTGTTCTATTATACATTGATATTCATGAGGATACTAGGTAAAAGCATGGAATCATTAAGCACAAAAAGTTCTGCATTCAGTGTAGAATTAATATATCAACACATTCTTCCCTTTCTTGCAAATGTCAAGTGATCAGAAATTACTAGTGAGGCAAAGCCTTGAATGATAGAGGCCTATGCGATACAGGTAGAATGAGGTGGTGTGAAATTTACGTAAAGAGAATAGAGTTGTTTTTTTTTTTTTAAGTTCGTAATTGTAATGGGGGATCAGCAGCTGCAACTAGCTTTCTTGTAAAGGTTTATAGAGGCAGCTGCACACCACTTATGCTTCCCTTGCTTAGAATTTACCACACGGTCAGAGGCTAGGAAAGGTAGCCTCTAATCTGAAAGGTCATGTGCAAGCAACTAAAAAAAAAAAAAAAAAAAGGAAGGAACATACATTGGGGATGACTTGGAGAAAAAGCAAGAAAATTTTTAGCTCATAGCTTACTTTCTGTTTATTAGATAATATCTTATATCAGGTACCTTTGTTTTAGAAAATGACCATTAATGTGGACTAGTACTAGAGATAATTTTTTTGTTATGTGGGTTTTATTATATGGATTTGACAAGCAGACTGGCTAACTATTGTTGCCTTGGGTCAGTAATTTTTGTAGAAAGTAGTTTTAAAAAGTCAGCAGTAGCATAAGAAGCTAGAAGTTGTTTTCAGGCCCCCGATTAGATCTCCTTATCTGTGATTGTTAGTTATTTATGGGCACGTTTGTATTGTTGAGACAGATGGAAATCACTGTGTTATAGGTGTTTCTTCTTTATGATAGCTTTATTTGTAATGACCCTTGATCTGTAGATTAATGTTACCTGTATTTCTTTTTAGGATGTCCCTATGTTGGTGTTAATTGTGATTTTAGGATATCTCCAGTGGACATAAAGGTTTATGGTAGTGAAAAACTGAGTAGAAAAGTTTGGGTTTGTAATCTAAAAATATACTGGGAGAATTAAATCTTTTTTACTAGAGCATTGTTTTCAGTGTAAAAAAGAGACACCAGGACTGCTTGTTAAAAATGCAGATTTTCAGTTTTACTTTCAGAAATTTTGAGGCAGTCAGGGTGGAGATTAAGATCCACAGCTTCTTTTTTAATTTTTGGCTGAGTCCTGCAGCTTGCAGAATCTCAGTTCCCTGACCAGCGATTGAACCTGGCTCGCGGCAGTGAAAAGCACCAAATCCTAACCACTGGACCACCAGGGGACTCCCAAAAATCCACAGCTTTTTATAACAAGCATTTCAGGTAGTTCTTGAAGGAAGCAGTTAGCTTAGGGGAATATAGTTTTTTTGGGGGGAAAAAAAAACACACTAAACTCTTATGAATTAACTTTAAATTGAAACAGACAAATAATATTAAAGAATGAGAAGATAAGATACAAGGTGACTTAACGAGACTTTTTAATTTTATAATTCCAAGGGACTGTTAGTTTTCTCTCTGAGGTAAGACTAGTTTTCTTTTTAAAGTTTTGTTACTAGGAAAAAAATATTTACAGCCTTATTTTTAAATAATTAATGTTAAAAATTATGTCTTGTTACATCCAGTTAGAATGTTCAGACTACTTTGTGTTTAGTAGCACTCTTGTTCTTTGTGCATGCACATGTGTTATTTTAATCAGGAGGAAATAGTGTACTCAGACTGCTTGGGAATATGCTTGGTGTCTGTACAGATCTTTCATTTATTCTTGTAGGTGGCTTTCCTGGCGGAATGCCTGGTAATTTTCCTGGAGGAATGCCTGGAATGGGAGGGGGCATGCCTGGAATGGCAGGAATGCCTGGGCTCAATGAAATTCTTAGTGATCCAGAGGTTCTTGCAGCCATGCAGGTAAGACTTGGAAGAACAAAGTTGGACTTTATATCACTGAGGCATTTCTTTCATAATTCTATGTGGAGACAGGTTAAGGTTACTCTGTTGGCCATATTTTATTGAGCTGAATTACCAAATAGCTTATCATGCAGTTGTGACATTCATGTTCTTTTTTTCAGAATGAGTAGCTTAAGTTTTTAAAAGTGGTTTATAGGGAAATACTCTGTAATAGTTGGTAATTATATCCTGTTGTCCTTTTCTTTGTATCAAAATTGTCTATCTTTTTTTTCATTGTCTGAAGTGACATCATTGAGTTGGAGTTGGAAGTACACATTAATAATGTTTACGCTTCAGGGACTTGTCCAAACCTGAGTTGACTTAGCCATGACAAATTTGAAGGTCTGAATAAAGAGATAGGATGTAGGATAACAAAATTGATGACCCATAGAACATTTTTTTCATACTAAATATATATATATGTATACACATATATATATACACAGACACACCTTTCTTTGCAGGATCCAGAAGTTATGGTGGCCTTCCAGGATGTGGCTCAGAACCCGGCAAATATGTCAAAATATCAGAGCAACCCAAAGGTTATGAATCTCATCAGTAAATTGTCGGCCAAATTTGGAGGTCAAGCGTAATGCCCTTCTGACAAATAAAGCCCCTGCTGAAGAAAAAGCAACTTAGATCACCTAATGGATGTCGCAATAATACAAACCAGTGTACCTCTGATCTTCTCATGAAGAAAGCTGGGGTGCTTTGAAGATAATCCCTACCCCTCTGCTCCAAATGCAGCTGAAACATTTTACAGTGGTTTGCCATTAGGGTATTCATTCAGATAATGTTTTCTTACTAGAAATTTAAAACTTTAAACAATTTTTAAACCTTAAAAATATTTAAAACAAAAGGGTGTGTTAATCCCTACATTTTTCTTTACTAATCATTTTGGTTTTTTCCTTTGAATTAGTTAGGCAAGGAAGATACTTCAGTATGGAAGATTTATTGTTCAAGTTTGAGTGAAATAAAGATTTATTAGTGGGAAGCAAATGTAACATTTAAATAGATAAAGTTTGAGTTGGATATATGGTCACTGAGGCATTTTGATTTGTCTTTTTAATTGCTTTATTATTATTATTTTTAATGATTTGCTTCCATGAAACTATTGGGACCACCAGTCTTGCAGTAGGACCTGGGTAGGGACTGGAAGTACTTGGCAGGGCAGCAGTAATCTTACTACATTTTATATAATGTGTACCCTTGTGCAGATGGCTTAAATCTTACACTGTGGTGAAAGGATGATTTTTATACTGCTGCAGTAAAATTGGATTACTTCGCTCTGTTCTTGTCTGATATCTAAAATAAATGTTTCACATTTCCACACAGGGGAAATAAGGGAATACTTTTCTTTTTGTATTTCTATGTTTAAAGTGTTCTTTTCAGATCAGAAAATGCCCAACTCTTTGCTTTCTACTTGTTTTCACATTTTTTTCATCCTACTCTTCTTGGGGTAAAGCTGATGCTTTTTCACTAGCGTCGTCACTGCTATCATCATTCACAGCATAATTATGCAAGCATATTTAACGCTGGGTTTAATTTAATATGTAATACTTAATATGTAATATTGTAGGGTAATACCCATAATAGCTGTAGTTTCTTACTTGGCCAAGAGATTTCATATTTAAGTGTTAGATTTCCTCTTTGGTGAAATCTTAACATACCAAAAGATGTTGGAAGAAGGGATTCCCTTTGGTGTTTGGTCTCCTACTTAGGAAATACCTATTGCAGTTAGAGTTTATCTTGTAGAATTAATTTTGGGAGAAGTTTGAATTAATTGATACACAAAGAGGGGAATCTAAATTCCTAATCCAGCATGAACTAAAAAAGTTGATGAGATTCATGGTGGTTCTTCTTTGTGGAGTTCTCAGCATTGTGAAAGATGCATTGTTCTATTCAGCTCTTAAATACTGCAGCCATGTCCCCACCTCTCCTTATTCCTTCCCTGTCCTCCAAGGATAAAGAAAATGATAAATTTTTTGTTGTACATCCAGTTCTTATATTAAATGAGGCTAAGTCCAGGCACTGTACCAGGAATTGCTAGGTTTCTACTTATTTTTCAATGTAAAGTGCTAGTTTAAAAGCAGTTTCAGGGGATGAGACCCTCTGTACTTTGCTTATTTGAAGAATCAGTGGTAGGAGCAGTGAAGTAAATTCCATGGAATACATTTCTGAAATCATAAGTAAGTTGATTCAAGTTTTTACCCTTTGCTGTATGCAAGCAAATAGAAATGCATCTGTTAAGTGAGAAAAAGCTGTATGCTGATTATGCTTTTTAAACCCTTTAAAAATACTCAGCATATAAACTTGAGTGTGAGCTTGCTGGTGTTCTTTTTGTTAATATGTGTTCTCCTTTCTCAGAATTTCCAGTGTGTGCTGTAATTTAGGGCCAGCTGCTTCTGGAATTTTCATTTGATTTACACATTACCTAAGTACATTCTAACATTGCACATATTACCATACGTGGGTAAAAGTAAAATTGGTCTGAAAATGTATCCTGTGCTTTTTAGACTTTTAAGTTAATACAAAGTACATCTTCATTTTTGTAGAAACTGAACATCATTTCTAAACCAGAAATGTTCTGTTCTTGTGCCAATGATGCTATAAGAAGGAAAACTAAAGGACTTTTTTTCTGCTTAAAAATATATAGTTAGGGGCTTCCCTGGTGGCGCAGTGGTTGAGAGTCCGCCTGCCGATGCAGGAGATGTGGGTTCGTGCCCCGGTTCGGGAAAATCCCACATGCCGTGGAACGGCTGGGCACGTGAGCCATGGCCGCTGAGCCTGCGCGTCCGGAGCCTGTGCTTCCCAACGGGAGAGGCCACAACAGTGAGAGGCCCGTGTACTGCCAAAAAAAAAAAATATATATATATATATATAGTTAAATGAGGGGTTTAAAAAAAAAAGAAAAACACATGGCGATCTTTGTTCCTGGCTGATTCACAGTGATCAATGGCATCATTATTTAAATAAATAAATATATATATATAGTTATTGGATATTTCTAGCTACGTTAAAAATAAAGTGTGGCTTCAGACTGGATATTGACTCTTCCCACCACCACTCCCCTTTTTTTCAGCACATGTTCTATTTCTTTTATGTCTCTATATCACTAATCCTAAGGTATTTACTAAGCACAGTAGACTTTAGATTATACAGTGTTAACAAGGACCCCTAAAAATATATTAGCTTAAGTAAAATAGAGCTTTACATTTCTTCAGGTCGCAGTTCAGAGGTAAGCACTTGTGCCGTATTTAGAAGGGAGCTTCCATTGCTGTGTTCAAAGGTGCTTGCTCTGGTGCTCATCTAGCCCCCAAAAACTGGAGAAGGCACCAGGGAAGTGTATGCTGAGATACTGATGCTAATCCATGGAAGTAACATTCTGTCCTCATATCCCATTGGTCATTTTTGTTTTGAGACAATATTTAGCTCCAAGTAAACCTAGAAAATATTCCATAGCTGTGTGGTCATGTGCCCAACAAAAATAATTACTACTACAGAGAAATGGAGAAAAGACCCAGAGTAACAACTAGCAATCTGCCACACTAGGAAATACTGGCCTAATGGAATAAGGGAGAAGCAGTATTTTAGAGATTTGCTCGTATCTAAAATTAATGCACCCAAGTAGGCACATACATCAGGTGAGTAGTAATCTGTGCCAAGCACTTTTATTCTGCAAGTATTGACTTGATTCTGGTAATGACCACAAGGGTGAGTACTCCTCCCCATTTTATATAGATGAGGAAACTGAAGCACTTACGTAAATTGTCCAAGATAACATAGTTGATTTGTGGAGCTGAGATCCTCATCAGGCGTGTGGCTTCAAATGTCTTGTTCCTAAATTCTATGCTCTGCTGCCTCCCCTCTGTGTACTAGGTTGCTTCTTGCAGAACTGTTCATTTAAGAAATTGAAAACTAAATGTACATTTGAAGGGCATTAGTTAAATAAGGCATATCATATCATTGGTGCTGACAATGCACCTCCACAGGGGTTTTTCCTAGTAGAAGTCTGATGGCATAATTGTGCTGTTAGTCCACTTGTGATGGGCCCAATTAGAGGGACAAGAAATAATTAGTTTTAAAAAGTTTGGTGCCGGGCTTCCCTGGTGGCGCAGTGGTTGAGAATCTGCCTGCTAATGCAGGGGACACGGGTTCGAGCCCTGGTCTGGGAGGATCCCACATGCTGTGGAGCAGCTAGGCCCGTGAGCCACAGCTACTGAGCCTGCACGTCTGTAGCCTGTGCTCCGCAACAAGAGAGGCCGCGATAGTGAGAGGCCCTGGGCGCACAGCGATGACGAGTGGCCCTCGCTTGCCATAACTAGAGAAAGCCCTCGCACAGAAGCGAAGACCCAACACAGCAAAAATAAATTAATAAACTCCTACCCCCAACATCTAAAAAAAAAAAGTTTGGTGCCGTAATTTTAAAAAATTAGTATGTACCAATATTTATAACCAATAAAGCATACTTTGGAGTGCATATATTTGGGGGTGCGTCGCCTAAAGTACATAGGAAAATATAGTTAAGGATAGCTGGTAAACTTCAAGAAGTCAAATCTAAACTGAGTAAGGCATGTCGTGCTGGCAGAAGTTTTAAAACTGGATTCTAAGTATTAGGTGGAACCAGAGTAGTAAGGAGGTAAATAGAATTAGCATAAACTCGTGTGTAAGTGCTATGAAATTCTAGGTATCTGGTATATAATCAGGATGTCCTTAAGTAGTTCACTCGCAGATCACGAGGACATTTTCAGGTTGCGGTGTAAGTAACCTGACCATATGGCAGTGTATAAACAAATAGGAAGGTAATCAGTTATGGCTAGGTTATTTTTAACTATTTTGTAATGATGGTATGGGTGTGAACAGAATGATGCTAAATTTTTAGTATATCGTTTATGTAGTGTGGGACTTAGTGCTTATATAATTCAGGGAGCCCTCTTTAAGAAAAACAGTATATAATTAGGAATACTGAGATGTGAAAGTGAATGTTTAGAATGAGCAAAATGTTACTTTTAGAAATTGGAAATATCTCAAGCATCACAACTATAGAGATAGTTCCATTTAATAAATGATATACATATGGAATTGCTACATTTTCTGCTGCCTACTCTGATTATATGACTTTTGTGTTTTCAATAGAATAGATAATTCCATCTTGATCAAAATATTTTTTGATAGCTGGGATGCAGAAGATTTCACACAGATGGACGTGCTGTCTGCTCTAGGTCATACCCGACACATGGTAATTCTGAAAAGTATTGTGTTCAATTACCATCATAAAGGGAAAGTATTTGTAAAGTGTGTTTATAAATCTGTATGCTACATAGTCCAGTTTTTTCTTGAGAGAGCTTCCAATTTAAGTAGGAGTCTGTGAGAACTGAGTCCTCTGGTTAAATTTTACAGCAGACAAGCTTCTATGTTCCACTGCCAGAATCCTATCTTCATTTGACTTTTGGACCTGCACCTCATGTCATGACCTTAGGGAGTGGTGGGAGTATTCCTGGAAGCGATTCCTAACATAGGATGTCTAGCAGTAACCTGTATTAATACAGGTTATATATAAATATCTCTAAATCCAACTGTGTGCCCAAACTTTCTTTTAACTTAGCTGTCGTCACTGTAGCACTACTGTAAATGAAAGGGAGTTTAAGTGGCAAGGTATCTTAACCAATAGCATTTAAAATATTGTATGCAAGTTTTGTGAAAACATGACCAGGTAAACATTGTTGGGGCCCTTTCCTGGGAGTAAATGTGATAAAGGGCGTAAAGCACTGGGCCTGGCTGTAGCAAGCAGTCAAGGACTATCAGCAAAGATATTATAAAAGTAAACTTACTGGTACTGAAACATGCAGACGCACAAAGCTATGGTGCTCGAGTAATTGTGGGTGAGGGGTACAATGTGATTTTTCTAGTTCTGTGTAGTTTGGGTTTTCGCTTTGTAACATGGAAAATTTTTTTTGGTATTTTATAAAGTACGTCTACGTAAATTAACTTTTCTAATCCTCACGGTATTAACACTTGTCATTCCACAAAGGAGGAAACCAAGAGGTCAAATGATTTTCCTGGGTGCCTACTAGTTTGTCCCCACCTCCATCTGATCATTTTGATTTCCTGAAGCTCAAGTTCTCTTTCCACCAGGGTTTTTCAGAGGGGAGAACCTTGCCCAATCAACATTTATTTTCTCTTGACTAAAATGTGACTAAAAATACTAGCGAGAGCAAATACGAGTAAAGTCTCAAAAGAGAAACAGGAAGATGAGTCCCCCATCTTGCTTGTCTCCATCTTGTCTTATGGAGAGGAGAAAAATGAGGCTGTCCAAGTTTTCTGAAGTCTCCAG